ACTGAAGGCACATTCTAACCCTGACCTTGATGGGTTCTAAGTTTAAGAGGATTGTTCAATATATGGTCAGTTTTGTTTTAAAACTCAGCACCTGATTTGTTTCCTTGTTGTTGATACTGCTGTCATCATTATTGCAGCTATATGATGAGAGTCTTCAAATAATCCAATCTGGACCCAGACAATCCAGTGATTGATATTATGAGCTTTGAGCCATGCTGTTGGGGCATGAAGACCTACAAGTAACCAAGTCACTCAGTCACAACACAATCCATATAATTGTCGCATTTTAAAACTGACAGGCTACTGGGAATCTGTCCTAACCCAGAATCCCACGTGAGAGGTATACCTGTCAATATTGTATGCTATTATTTCATGATCATATCACCAATTAATATATATCCATTGTTACCTCACACAAGCCAGGAGTGTAGCTACCATTATGAAAAAAAAGCCCAGGCTTATACATGATTTTGGCCTAAAAGGTTGGGGATCATGCATCAAATATGTTATGTATGAAAAGCATGTGCACTAATGGGGAGCCAATCATGCATGTGAACGAGGATCATGTTCTGAAAGTGTAAATATCATTTGAACAGCAAGAATTAAGAATTCGCCAATTTTACTGATTTTTATCATTTATTGAACTCATGACAACAATCTTTTTAATGTTATGAATTTGTTTTTAATTATATCAGTTCATGTGTAAATAGTACCTTTAAACAATATGGAATATTTTGCAAAATTTAGTTTAGAACAGTTGCCAGAAGTAAGTGGCTATATTTACACTAGTGTGTCTAAACTTTTGATGGTAAGTATATAAAGCTTTGCAACCTATCATGCTTACACTGAAAAACTTGGCTTGCTACGCGCCTGCAAGCTATATCTATGATACACATGATCTCATATTTTTCTTCCGTTTTCTCACAGCTGCTGAAACCCCCTTGTAGTTACTGATGTTGACTGATGTAATTTCAACTCATTATCTCTGTCAGTGACCTGCGATAATGAGGAGGATAATGACTACATAGGGGTTTCAGTGAGCTTTGATTTGGGCTCGATTAGAATTTTATTTTGAATTTAGTTTTATAGTTTGTTGATATCTATTTCTAAATAAAATAAGGGCGGTAGGGTAGCCTAGTGGTTAAAGCGTTCTCTGATCACGCCGAAGACCCGGGTTTGATTCCCCACATGGGTACAGTGTGTGAATGTGTATTACTTGTGTTCCAACACTGTGATATTGCTGGAATATTGCTAGAAGTGCTAAAACTCACTCACTCACTCTAAGTAAAATAATTTTATAACTGAGACTAGTTGTTAGTCTATACTGATCCTTGTTGCTGCTGGACCGTGTGATGACATGTGTGGTCAGTCTGTCACGGCCACCATGACCTCCTGGCCCAGGTTAATTCCTCTCCTTAAGCCACAGTTTGATGGTCCAGTTCACTGTGGGATTAGTGTTACATGGACATTTTATTCATGAAATATTCAGATTCAAGTGATTATTATTTTGATCTTTTGGTAGTCATTATCGTACTGTTTGCTTCTAATGGTATGGGTCTTGACAGTAATGGAAACAAACAGTACATTAGATCCATATCGTCTCCACATGTCTTAAGACATTGTTAAAAGTATTAGCTAAGTAATATATAGATATTGTGTACTAATGTGTGGTGTTGCTTTTCCTTTGTCATGTTGACAGCTACATTATGGAACTGACAGACACAAATACATGTAGTATACTGCTCAAAAGAAGTTAAGGATCACCTCATTCTCTCAGATTGCTGTAGTCTATTATATCATGACAATGACAACTCCCTTTAGTCTCCTCTTGATGAAGAAAATCATTAATACTTTGCCTACAAAATTATGCAGATATTTGAGTATGTTTCGTTGTACTGGGAATGCTTTTGATGATATTCTATACTAGCAGTGTAGTCTGTTTCTTTATATTAGGTGTACATTCACAAACAGGAGTCTCAGACAAATTATGACTGAAAACAATTTGAGTTCATGCAGAATGCTTTCATCGACTGGCATGCTCCAACAAGTGTCACCTCAATACATGAGTGTCTCCCTTGCTACAAGATCATGAAGGCCTGCTGTTCTTAACTAGTTCCTTGCTGTCTTTGTTCTGTCACAGCTTTTGAAGTGATAGATTCCTGTAAATCTATTTTTGCTGTTACACATGCTGGAAGTGCCCTTCTGTTTTATGGCTTATATGTTTATGGAGAACGGTCAGCTGCTTCAGTAGAGCGTACTGCCATTTTGTCCCCACCAGGCGGGGTGAGGGCTTTAATGTCATGTTATAGATTACCGGTATTGTACTAATATGGCAACAAGCAGGTGAATGTGTCTGTCTCACATTCCCTGAACCATATTAGTTTTCTTGCAGCCCACCCCTTTCACTAATGCAAAAGGCCAAAATGTAACAAGTCTAGATTTTCCTTACATTCTCTGGAATCTCTCATCTGATTTAGTCTCCATTTCAGTTTAAATAGGATAATTTGTTTGTATCATATTTTTCAGATATTAAGCATTACTCTAAGATACTTTGCGCCAGTTGAAGATGGCATACCACTCAGAAAACAAAATTCTTACCTAACACTCCTTCTGTTATCCCCTTATTGCCAGGCAGGTGAATAACAAGTACCATCTTTGAACATCCTTCTTTTATTTCCTTAATGCTAGGCAGGTGAACAATAAGTGCCATCTCTTAACATCCTTCTTTTATGCCCTTAATCCTGGCCAGGTTAACAAAAAGTACCATCTCTTAACATCCTTCTTTTATGCCCTTAATGCTGGCCAGGTTAACAAAAAGTACCATCTCTAAACATCCTTCTTTTATCCCCTTAATGCTGGCCAGGTTAACAAAAGTACCATCTCTTAACATCCTTCTTTTATCCCCCTTAATGCTGGCCAGGTTAACAAAAGTACCATCTCTTTACACTTAATGCTGGTCAGGTTAACAAAGTACCATCTCTTAACAACCTTCTTTTATCCCCTTAATGCTGGCCAGGTTAACAAAAGTACCATCTCTTAACATCCTTCTTTATCCCCTTAATGCTGGCCAGGTTAACAAAAGTACCATCTTTTAACATCCTTCTTTTATCCCCCTTAATGCTGGCCAGGTTAACAAAAGTACCATCTCTTAACATCCTTCTTTTATCCCCCTTAATGCTGGCCAGGTTAACAAAAAGTACCATCTCTTAACATCCTTCTTATATCCCCCTTAATGCAGGCCAGGTTAACAAAAAGTACCATCTTTTAACATCCTTCTTTTATTCCCCTAAATGCTGGCCAGTCAATGTTTCTGAAGGAATGTCTCATGTGACATATGCAAGTGTGTGTACAGATAACAACTCACCATGACAGTCTAATGGAGATCGATGTGGTATATTTATTCACAGCAATAATTGCCGCAGTCTGTTCCACCTCAACCCTCCAGTCTGGCATTTAAGAAAGCTAATATTTATATATTCTCAGTGGGTGTCAGGCCGGCATAGGTCAGACTTAATAACCGTGATGTTTATTATCATATGTGTCAAGAAATCTCCTAATGTGGGATTACTTTTAAGATGTTTGTGTCAGTAATAAATGTAAATCTGGCCTCAGTACCTCCAAGGATGATAGTTAGTATGCAGGTGAGATAATGAGTTGCGTTTGTACATAATGTTCTAAGCCACCTGTTCCCCCACCTGTGATCACGAGGAAGGTTCACCAACAGGGTCATCTCAGTCTTGTTAGCATTGTACGTGTTCCGGATCTGTCATTTGGTGGGCCACAATGTTGAGCTTCATCAGAAGACTTAGAAGACTTTTGAGGGAACGGGATAATGATGTAGAATAAAATACAATTTGTGAGAGCACCAGGTACCGACATGGATGGTGTAAGGACATTGTTTTGTGGTCTAAGACTCGATATGATTATTTTGGGGAGGTGAAATAAAGTTGCTAGCATCGTAGTAATGACCACCAAGCCACCTGACCAGAGTTGATCATTTTGAAGACGACCAAGCAGATTCTGTTGAGCAATTTGTAACCAGTGATGAGTTTGGGTTTATCCACTAAACTGATGATGACGTCAGTTCTTCTGTGGAATTCTTTTTAACCAAGAAGGACACTTTCAACACCTGTGGGGTCCAGGGACCCAAGCATCATTGGTGGAAGTTTGTGGACCTTGTCAAATATTTGGTTAAAACAATATAAGGAACCAGCTCCATCAAAACAATCCATCAGTTAGGCTCAGAACTTTTCAGTCACCCCTTGAATATTTGAATCCTTGATAAATTGCTGTTACATACATCATGTTAATGCCCAGATCAACATGACTGTGCCAAGTTACAACAGGAAATTGTAAGATAAGAGTCCGCTAATTGATCACAACTGGTTGTTACAAAATTAGGTAATCAACACAACCATACAATAATTGCCTGCTGACACTAATTGATAATTGCTGCATAAAATATCTATTTATCAATAAATTCAGGATGGTGTTTATAAGCATATGAAATTATTTAGCAATATTTTCAGGGGGTTTATCTTTTCACAATGTGGCTGTGTATCTGTAGGTTCATGTGACGTAATTTTGTGAAATGACAAGATTGACGTCTAGTCGTCTACTGAGTGTGGTAGAATTCAGTATATGTCAGCTGACTCTTTGTCATCTCTCAGATTTTCTTGAAAGGTATTTGGAAGTCTAATGAAAATGATTACATGACACGTGTTATGGATAACAACTTCTTTTATTCTTTTTCACCTCATTTCAGAGCTAAGTCTTGCCCCTTCATCAGGTGGGGGAAGAAAGGATGAAGGAGCAAGAATTAGTTCTGGAATGTGGTGATAAAGGATAAAAAAGTTGTTTTCCATAAAACATGTCATGTATTCACCTCTCACATCTCATGCAGTTTCAGAATGGCTAATCAATACATGCTGGTATAAACTGCTGTCACTACTCACTCACTCATTTCACTCACTCACTCACTCACGCACTCTATGTTACAGGGCTGTTACAGACTGTTCGGAATGGGCTACGCGATACAGGCTGGTGTGAAACTGCTGTCAGCTCTAACAAGACTCCACAAACAGCCCCGACTACTGTTTGATGCTCTGTTCAATAAAGACAACTTCAGACTCGGTGCCTTCCTGGGATCTTTCTCAGCGTTATTCAGGGTACGTAGATCCATTCCTGACTCTTCATGAGTGAGTGATTACATACTTGACTGAAGCAGTTCTTAATACCTCTATGTAACAATGTCTGTGAATAAAGTTATCTCTGAAAGACTTGTCACAGACAATATATGGGTGAAATGCTAATGGACAACCATAGCAACATTTTGTAGAGGATATGGTCAAAGGGAGATAACTTTTGTCGATACTCGAAACAAGCAAGACAGTTTACAAATTTTGTTTGGGCTTCCATGTGTTCTAGTGTTCATAGTAATATTTAATATATATTTTATTTGTAGTAGAGTGTATTGACAACAAATTTCTTGTCAACAGTAGTAGATACAAATATTTATCATCTAACTCTGGTCTCTAGAGGTGTCACTTCAGTGAGATCAAACAATCTCTCCCTGTAGATAAGGCAACAACGAAATTGAATCTCAAAACATTCAGGCTATTGTGACATCATCAGTTACCATGATGTCACAGTCAAACAACATCACTTACCTGCCACTGAAGCAGGCAAGCTGTACTTTCTACATCCAAGACACAGCTTATTTAGGACATAAACCTACTGTGTTCAAAAATTTGATGTAGTACTTCTGTGGATAAGATACCTTATATTTGAATTTTGGACTGAGTGCATTAGAGGTTTCAGATATATAGATAAGAGATATCTAATCCACAATGTGACTACCAGTGTGTATTCAATATGTAGTTGGTTTTTACGCAGTGAGTGAGTGAGTTTTACGCCGCACTCAGCAATATTCCAGCTATATAGCGGCGGTCTGTAAATAATCAAGTCTGGACCAGACAATCCAGCGATCAACAGCATGAGCATCGATCTACGCAATTGGGAACCGATGACATGTGTCAACCAGGTCAGCGAGCCTGACCACCCACGCCTCTTGCGACAAGCATGGGTTACTGAAGATCAATTCTAACCCGGATCTTCACGGGTCTTTTCAGCAGTCATTGTAATATATCAATGTGTATGCTGTGGATAGATCATGGTTTTCATGTGCAGGTTTTTGTGTGAAAAGATTTCAATGTGCAGAGGTGTCATTTGTAACAAGGATGCCATGTTTTCAACCAATCAGAATCAAGCATTCTTCAAATACATTGTAGAATACTGAATGCAGCTGAAAACAAAAAAGTTGGAAGAATGATGTTAAGAGACAAATAGAATCTCATTGTAGCAGCCATTGATAGTATGTATATCAGTACTAATCTCATCTTTCTTTAAAACTCATCAGCATGTGTCAGAGTTTTACCCGACACTGATGTGAGATTGTGTGTTGCAGCTGGTGAACTGTGTGTTGCGGTGGGTACGTAACCGTGACAGCAGCTTCCATGGTCTGCTGTCCGGGTTTGTCGCAGGCTGGTCCATGCTGTGGTACAAGAGTACAACTATCGCCCTCTACACTGCCACCAAGATGGCTGAGGTACGCCATTGTCGTCATGGATAATGTTTAATTAACACTGTGGAAGGAATTCTTGTAATCTGTACTGTGTTCTAACATTAACACTGAGAGGGACATTGTTGTAATGGGTACTATGTTTTAAAATTAACACTGAAAGCAATTTAATATTGGGAGAGGTCATCATTTCAATAGTGTATTTTATCCAAATTTTAGTGATGATGTGATGTCAGCTATTTTACTGGTGAGATTTGAGGAGGGAAGTGGATGTTATACCCATATATGGATAAAATATCCTTGTGAAAACTGTCCTAATGATACAAGACAATTACAGACAGGAGCAATGCTTCCAGGGGATGAAATATCCTATACATGGGCAATAATTACCAAATCATTCTAGACTGGAGTTTGATAACTATTTTCATTTCTTCTCTTTAGTTTTAGAGACAGACTTAATAAGGCAAGATTCTCTTTACCTCTTCATAGTTACACCATCAGTTATTAATAGACACTCGGTAGCTCAGTAAGGCTGGATAAACACAATCTCCTTACACAGGTTATTTACCATCCCAAACACTACACCCTCTATGTATGGAACACTGTGTTACAGATGCTGTACGTCAAGGGGATCCATGCTGGTTATCTCCCTTACATCAAGTGTGCTGATATTCTCATATACTCCGTGTCAACAGCTGTTGCCTTCCATGCTGTGAGTTTCGGCTGTACAAACAGATGATCACTATCATTAGAAGTCATCTGATGTAGAATGTAAAGTTTGTACTATATTCATGATTCTAAAAGCCCTGACCAACTTGTTGACCTGGAGTTTCAACCATCATAGCAGTAAGCTTTGTGCAAGTGGATCCTGGCCCCTTAGTTCTGTGTATACAGTACCTCAAGCAAATTTACATTATAAGTTGTATGCTATAAAAATGGTTAATTATGTTTAAGTTGAGTGTGTGCAAACAATTCAATGTATAAAATAGTTTAAATAAAGCACTGAAAGTCGGTAAAATAAATCTGTACATAGTGAACTCAAAAACAGCTAATCGAACGGTCTTCGAACTCCGGGCACTGCATGCGTCATATTATGACGTCATACGATTGTTAGCGATACAGCTTCTTGGCGGAGAGTTTGGCAGTTATCGTGGCAGTGGGTAATGTTTTTTCCAGTTGTCACCCTGCTTGGAGGGGTGACACGGAAACTTGTTAAAATGTCATTGACCAAAGAAATTAAAGTATTTTACATAATTGCATTTATAAGCATGATTTTAACAAGTCTGTATCGACTTTGCCTATTTTGTTCATGCTCCCCTTCCCACCTGTTGGGTGTCACTGTGTAGATATAGTGTGTTAGTTACAATGTGTTGACTTCTCCCCAGGCTGTGCTGGAGCCTCACACACTGCGGCCGGCATACTGGAAGTTCCTGGTACGGGTCACCCATGGAAAGTAAGTGCATTCACACTTGGGGGCACATGCTAATCACAGTACAACATTCACAACCTCACTGAGGGGACCTGCTAATCACAGTACAACATTCACAACCTCACTGAGGGGCACCTGCTAATCACAGTACAACATTTACAACCTCACTGAGGGGGACCTGCTAATCACAGTACAACATTCACAACCTCACTGAGGGGGACCTGCTAATCACAGTACAACATTTACAACCTCCCTGAGGGGCACCTCCTCACAGTACAACATTCACAACCTGCCTGAGGGGGACCTGCTAATCACAGTACAACATTCACAACCTCACTGAGGGGGGGGGACCTGCTAATCACAGTACAACATTCACAACCTCACTGAGGGGGACCTGCTAATCACAGTACAACATTCACAACCTCACTGAGGGGGACCTGCTAATCACAAGTACAACATTTACAACCTCACTGAGGGGGACCTGCTAATCTCAGTACAACATTCACAACCTCACTGAGGGGACCTGCTAATCACAGTACAACATTCACAACCTCACTGAGGGGCACCTGCTAATCACAGTACAACATTCACAACCTCACTGAGGGGCACCTGCTAATCACAGTACAACATTTACAACCTCACTGAGGGGCACCTGCTAATCACAGTACAACATTCACAACCTCACTGAGGGGACCTGCTAATCACAGTACAACATTCACAACCTCACTGAGGGGCACCTGCTAATCACAGTACAACATTCACAACCTCACTGAGGGGCACCTGCTAATCACAGTACAACATTCACAACCTCACTGAGGGGCACCTGCTAATCACAGTACAACATTCACAACCTCACTGAGGGGCACCTGCTAATCACAGTACAACATTCACAACCTCACTGAGGGGCACCTGCTAATCACAGTACAACATTCACAACCTCACTGAGGGGACCTGCTAATCACAGTACAACATTCACAACCTCACTGAGGGGCACCTGCTAATCACAGTACAACATTCACAACCTCACTGAGGGGGACCTGCTAATCACAGTGCAACATTTACAACCTCACTGAGGGGGACCTGCTAATCACAGTACAACATTTACAACCTCACTGAGGGGGACCTGCTAATCACAGTACAACATTTACAACCTGCCTGAGGGGGACCTGCTAATCGCAGTACAACATTTACAACCTCACTGAGGGGCACCTGCTAATCTCAGTACAACATTTACAACCTCACTGAGGGGGACCTGCTAATCACAGTACAACATTCACAACCTCACTGAGGGGCACCTGCTAATCACAGTACAACATTCACAACCTCACTGAGGGGCACCTGCTAATCACAGTACAGAGGTGCCTCCCTTGGTTGTGCCTGGATCTGGACCTGTCAGTTCAGATTCCAGCCCTTATTGGCAGCTTCATTACATAGGGTTGCTTTTGGTCAACTGCCAGGGATCTTTCTGATGTCTATTATGTGTAACAGCTGTGATTATTATTTCAGGGGCTTCCAAATGGCCTTGAGGAATGTTTTGACATATCATAGAAAAGGTCAAGGTCATGAGTTGAAAACTTTCTTCTCTTTCTAAAACCATATTCATGCATATATTATTGACCTTTGTGTACCTTCTCCGAAATGGTCCATCGTTGAAAAGAATTACACTGATTTCCAACATACATGTATTGAGTGTATTGAAGGAATTGTTCCTGACATATACCTATAATAACACTTAGAATTATGCTGAATGGAATGAAGTGTGTATGTTCATTCAGACATGTGGCTTTCATGCCTTCGTTTGTGCTGTCCAAGTTCAGCCTTGTGTAATGTGTTGATCATTGTTTCCAGATTCTGCCATATCAACCGGAGACTGCTGGACGTGTTTGGGACCAATTCCTCCTTGATGTACCCAGACTACTGGCCTACCTACGACCCAAGGTTCACAAGCATCAAACCTCCCACCAGTTGATGACATGACCCTTCATAGTGCCATTGTATTCTCATAGTTGATATATCAGGACAATATTTCATCAGAGTGTGACACATCAGGACACCAGATGATACCTGGTTACATTTAGACACCAGTATTTGACCTGTCGATTCACTATCGATGCATCATGGACAGCAACATTTACCTTGGGTCATCACATGGACAGCAACATTTACCTGGGGTCATCACATGGACAGCACCATTTACCATGGGTCATCACATGGACAGCACCATTTACCTTGGGTCATCACATGGACAGCAACATTTACCTTGGGTCATCACATGGACAGCAACATTTACCTTGGGTCATCACATGGACAGCAACATTTACCTTGGGTCATCACATGGACAGCAACATTTACCTTGGGTCGTCACATGGACAGCAACATTTACCTTGGGTTGTCACATGGACAGGACCATTTGCATTGGGTCGTCACATCGACAGCAACATTTACCTTGGGTCGTCACATGGACAGGACCATTTACATTGGGTCGTCACATGGACAGCAACATTTACATTGGGTCGTCACATGGACAACAACGTTTACTTATGGGAATTAATTTGGGCACTGACATATATTACACATATTGACTTGGGATACCAACAATCAGTGTGTTTGTAACAGTGAAGCCAGTGCCTTCTACAGGTGTCAATGCATTAAGAAGCCAGTGTTTTCTACAAGTGTCCATGCAGGTCAATGTTTTCAACAGGTGTCAGCACATCAAAGGACAATGTTGATGCCAAATCAAGATGCCAATGATTACTATTGACTAATGTGTCACCAGCTGAACAGTAAATACTCGTGGCTTTTATGTTTCATGGCAAATTCTCGCAATTCCTTTCCTTTAATCTGTCTCTACTTTTCTATCTACTTACCTATACTTCTCCTTGGTTCTTTTGGGGGGTGCGGTGGGTTAGCCTAGTGGTTAAGCATTCGCTCGTCGCGCCAAAGATCCGGGTGCAATTCCCCACATGGGTACAATGTGTGAAGCCCATTTCTGATTTTGCTGGAATATTGCTAAAAGTGGCGTAAAACCAAAACTCAGTCACTCACTCTTGGTTTTTTTAATATTAATTAGTGCTGTTCTTAATTAGTGTCCGTGATTATGATAACTGATGACACAGTAATTATCATCTCCTATGCATTGTGCTGAGGCAGACAGCTCTGACTGCGACACTCCATCTGTAAAATACTAGTGCCTTTTGAAATACAGTAAAGACAGCTAGCCCCTTAATAACCCTAACATACTCAGATGGAATAATAGTAGGGAACTCATATCGCTGAAGAGTGTCTATTCCTGTTATTCAGACTTCATATCTATTTAGTGAAATGTATTTAGTTAGCTGTGTTGTATAGCAGTCAGGTATGACAGTCGGGTACAACAATCAGGTAAAACAGTTGTGTATGACAGTCGAGTATAACAATCAGGTAAAACAGTCAGGTATAACAATTAGGTACAGCAGTCAGGTACAACAGTCAGGTATAACAATTAGGTACATGAGTCAGTTATAATGGTCAGGTACAACAGTCGGGTATGACAATCAAGTACAACACTCAAGTGCAACAGTCAGGTATAACAGTCAGGTATAACAGTCGGGTATGACAGTCAATTCAGGTACAACAGTCTGTTATAACAGTCAATTACAACAGTCAGGTACAACACAGTCAGTCAGGTACAACAGTCAGGTACAACAGTCAGGTATAACAATCAGGTACAACAGTCATGTATAACAATTAGGTACATGAGTCAGTTATAATGGTCAGGTATAACAGTCGGGCATGACAGTCAAGTACAACACTCAAGTACAACAGTCAGGTATAACAGTCGGGTATGACAGTCAAGTACAACACTCAAGTACAATAGTCAGGTATAACAGTCGGGTATAACAGTCATGACAGTCAAAAGTACAAGTAGATTACAACAGTCGGGTATAACAGTCAATTACAACAGTCAGGTACAACAGTCGGGTATAACAGTCAGGTATAACAGTCAGGGGCCATCTTAAGGGTACCTTCAGGTGTCATCTTGTTTTTCCTAATTAGACTGATGCTGAGGACATAGCTTGTTTTGTAACATTAAGCATACATTCCAGGGTACATAGTATTAGCATAATTATTCACAATAAATATTGGACATAATGTGGTGAGAGCACTGATCTTATGGTGAAATGCTAGGTGTGACCAGGTTGGTTATATGCTGCTATTAGACATGTGGAGTTGTATCTCTTTGGTATACCAGGATATAGCTAGCGCTTGGACAGGTGGAAATTGTGGACCCTGCCCTTTCAGCTTTGTTTTGAATAATATCCCTTACCATAAGTGGCAGTCATGGCAAAAAAATATCACAAACTGATTATTGACTACATTGGTTATTATGGCATTCATTCTTGAATGTACTAAAATTGTTCAAATCATGTTCGCTTTAAGTCCAGTGTTTGGCCAAGTCATTGTCAGCATGGTGGTGAAACTGTGGTAGGTTTTGATTGGTTGAGAGAGACACACCCTTGCCTAAATGCACAATTAACACAAAGCCTCTTATACAATTAGTGATTTTGTCATGCTCATGTTTATGTTGAAGAAAGAATATAAGCTTAAGTTTTTTGTTTGATATTTTGGTTCTGTGAATTTACGTAATGTATCAGACTATCACTTACCCCTGACGAGCATTGGTGCTGACCAACTCGGACACATACATGGGGTGGACTGGGACTTGAATCCATGGTAACAGGTTCCTGTAGGGCTTGGATGGTTACCTGAGTACACAGATGAGGTAAATAATTCTATCTACCTGGGTCATGAATAAACTACCTGAAACTATTTCATCACCAGAAATATCACGGCGGGGGACACCAGAAATGGGCTTCACACATTGTACCCATGTGGGGAATCAAACCCGGCCTCATAGTTAGGAGTGGTGGGGTGGGTAGCCTTGTAGTTAAAGCAATCGTTCGTCACTCCAAAGACCCGGGTTTGATTCCTCACATGGGTACAATGTGTGAAGTCCATTTCTGGTGTGCCCCGCCATGATATTGCTGAAATATCGCTAAAAGTTCGTTCACTCACTAAGTTCACTCACTCACTCACACTCACTCACTCACTCACTCACTCACTCACTCACTCACTCACTCACTCACTCACTCACTCACTCACTCACTCAGCACACCAGAACCATGTATGAATAGTTCATGAACAAGTGATATAAAGATGGCTCTGACCCCAATTGTCACCATTTTGAAAAATATTCTTGCAGTATTTGTCATATTAATAAGCAGTGGAAAGTGTATTTCAGCTGTAGTGTCATCTCTCAGTTGCTAAATAATACCCTGTAAATTCATTAGGCATTGACCCCACTCTCTCACTCGCTCTCTTTCACACTCGTTTAATACATTTTTGTTTAGGTTATATGTTACATTTCTTTTTCTCAGTTAAGCTTGTTTTGTTATATTTAAAAGTTGCAGTAGTTCTGTTCAGTGAATGATACAATGTTGTACATGATGCTGGTTGTTTTCATGTTTCATGAAGTCAAAATATTGTCATGATAGTAACATATTAATTTATGTATACCTTTGTAAAGCTATTTTCTTACCAACCTGTCACCTCTGTCTGACATGGTGTATTCAGACTGCTTGTGTCAGCCCTGCCCAGATCTGTGGAGTCACGTGGGATCTGTACAGTCACTGATTGCTGAGCTTTGCCTTAAAATATGTCTGTATGACCATTATATTGTATATTCAGAAAGATATAATATTTATACCATTTTTCAGACTTCAGTGTAGCATCCAGATGTGAAGATACTATGAAATAGTTGTCTTGTTTTGTGATATCGTACACCAGTCATATGTAGTTGTGTTGAATATAGTGTCTCTAGATTATATAGTCATGTGACTTGGAGATTAACAATTATTTATGTTTTTATGTATATCAGATGTACACACACCAGGTAACATGAAGTAATTTTGAACAACAGCATTTCTTATTTTTTTGTAAAGGTGTTTGTGGAGGTTGAGCGTAATGAGTTTAACGTAGCATTCAGAATTATTGCACTTATATAGTGATGTACATGCACGTGTGTGTGTGTGGCTTCTCCTACTTAAGGTTAGCAGTATCTTGGCTCCAGGATGACAGGTCCTTATTTCACCCCCTTAATGCCATACAGGGTAACAACATGTACGATCTTTTAATGTTGGGAAAATGGGAGGGTTAACCTCATGCCTTTATGTCACATCAAATCTCCTTTCACAGAACCTTATATTTTTTTTATTTTTTCTATATTTGGGTATTTTTGTAGTCATCATCGTTTAGTTTCTATTATTATTGTTTGTTTGTAGTAAGTAATAAGTTGCCTATAAATGTGTACAGTGAGCATATATCTATGCACCTAGGGTATGATGACATGTGTCACAATCCCCACTGCTGATGATCAATACTGAAACAATGGGAGTGAGAATCAGGAGCCAAAATGAACTAATTCATAGTTAATCTGACGTTAATTTGCTAATAAGTCAAAGGCAAAATCCAAAATTGTATAGATTAATTTCACACATTATTGTGTATTTATTCCGAAATCAGCAAAATAAAAAACTAGGAGATGTGACCTGCGAATTACAGCACAGAAAACTCAAGGTCAGGAAGGTCCCAGCATGCTCCAAACACACATTCTTGCCAAAACCGACATTGACTACTTGACATTGATTTGTGATGGAGAAACACAACAGTTAAAGAGTTAAAACTGCTCTGTGGAACATGTTTTAATAGTGTCGAGAATTAAATTTCAAATTATTGTGAAGATTTCCTCTCAGCTTCTGTTGAAGTTGGTTGGAGTCTGTTTAGCATTGTGATATCACTTGATTTTACCGTGGCCCCACTTGTTTTGACCATGATGTTAATTGAATGTAACATTAATTTAATGTCACATTGTTTTATCATAATATTACATGGTGTGTGTCATCATGATGTTGTATGGTTTGATCATGGCATCACACAGTTTTATCATGATGTCACATTGTGTGATTGTGGCTTGACAATGTGACCATATTGTCACATGGTTTGATCAGTCATCACTGTTTGATCATAATATCACATGGTTTGAATGATATCTCACATACTGTGATCGTGCATTGTTTGATCAGGAAGCCAAAAGGACATTGAACAATTGTTACGCCTCTCCGCCTAAAGCTCTCTGGGCTTGCATTACTACCTTCTGGTTGTCACAGTAACCCTCGTGTCCATACCTTGTATTTATGTTATCAACTTCAATGATAAATATTTCTCTTTTGTACATGATTCAGGTAAACATGAGATTATGCTCAATTCTATCCTGCATGAATGACTATGTGTATAGTGTCTAATACATAAGTATAACATGTCTTTGACAAAGATAACCCAGTTCCTCATTAGATGTACCAGTGTAGTATGTATTGTATATTGTGCTGTCAGGAAGTGACCTGGTTGGACATTACCAGCTAGTTCGTCTAGTCCAGTGTGTATCTTGTTCAGCCTTAGACTTTTACAGCCACAATGACCTGTAGTCATCAATCTGAAATAATAATCTGTGTTCAAGCAATCTCCTTAGCATTAAATCCTTAACTCTGACAACAAAACATCTCTTCATGAACACATGAGGACATCTTCATGTGAGGCCCTGTTGTTATACTATTTATTCAGCCAATCAGCATCAAGCATTTTTAAATGTTGGCACAAGGGAGGAAAACATTAAGTGTACCTGATCTCTGAATCTCCAAAACTAATATATTCAAGGACTTAAAGACAGCTGATAAAGTGTCATCAAAGTGCTGACATTCGCTGGTGCACAGTTGCTTGCCTTAGGCACCTATGATTACTTTAATCACAGTTTCACCTGGGTAGGTCATCGTCATATCATCAGGTGGTAAACTTCCAATAGGTAAGCCGACAAGCCTGAGGGTAACTAGAATATTGTTCCAAGTCAAGTTAAACCACATTACCTCTGAGCGGTCAAAGGTATATTTGTGTTCTTCTTGGGTTTTCAAACCGATTTCAGAAACTGACACCTCCTAAACTAGATGGCAAGGAAATCAAAACAAATAAAGGCTGAAATCTGATTCGCTCAGGACTCCACACTCCTTTCTCTAGATTGGGTGGTCACTTATGTTTCATGTGACAAGACCCGGGGGTGTCCTCAGATCCTGACAAGAGCTGTATCAGAGTTAGAGGCAGTGTACTAAGGAGATTGGTTCATGTTAGTGATATGCATGTATGAACTGAAAGTTGGCATATCTATTTTTCTATGACTAAATGCTTTTCATAACACTTGTGTTTATTCGTTTGTTCTGGAGTTGCTGGTCAACCTGTAAAGAGAAGGCTGATCTTCACAGGTCCTATATCAGTCTGAAGGGAGAGGGCAGTGTCAGTGAGAAGGCGTCGATGTCATTATTTAGCAGATTTAACATGTTTTACAGATTCCTTGGCTCTTTCCAACTAAACAGAAAGCACTGGAAATTCACGTCAATATATATTGACAGACGGTTTTTTTTTATGGATTTGGCACTTAATCAACGCTGTCGGGTTTGTTCATTCTCTGCTGATTTTGTAAATCTTTTACTTCATTCCTCAGATTGTTTGATGGAATCCTGAATGTGTTGCGTGTGGAAGTACACAGCTACGTTCAACTAATCATATAAACACTTGCCGTGACCAAATCAGTTAACTCGGACCTCAGCCTCGGCCTGTGTGTTGTAAGGTCTAGTGGGCGGCAAAGATTGCGCCAGAATAGAAAGTTATACATGAATAAATAATACCATTGAGATTAGCAATACTCCCAGTCGAGACGTCAGCGGCATGAGTACCCCGAAGGATGAGGTACCAAGAGTGCATTTATGTTATCCCTGAACTACCTCGTAATATCGGGGAGTCCGCCCAAAACGCGAATTGGTTTGTTTGTTGTTTAACGCCGCACTCAGCAGTATTCCAGCTATATGGCGGCAGTCTAAATAATCAGGTCTGGACCAGACAATCCAGGGATCAACAGCATGAGCATCGATCTACACAATCGGGATACAATGGCATGTGTCAACCAAGTCCGCGAGCCTGACCACCCGATCCTGTTAGTCGCCTCTTACGACATGCATGGTTTACTGAAGATCAATTCTATTGATACATGCCCATGTTCGGGATTTCCTCCACGTTAAATAGATGCCCTAGCTGGAGCTGAAATGGTATTCGAAACAGAGTTCGATCCAACCCACACAATCAGCTCCGGCCTTTGGTCCGAAATGATCATAAATTGTCATGGTAATGTGACTGTTTAACAGTAGAATTATCTCAGCTACGAGAACACCCACTGATCCCGGAGGTGCGAACACTATATGCTATAGCGATTCATAATAAGACGCTTATTATATAGTCGGAATCGATTTTCTACAATTCCGATAGGTAACAGAACAGGGAGTACTATTACGTGGGGAAACTCACAAAGTTTTCAGTAATATATACTGTCATAAGTACATTAAAACCTTGTGAGTTTCCCCCCATGTTCATGGTATGTTATCGTTCATATATTTGTCAGGGTAGGGATTGCGATCTGGTAGAATCTCCGATTGCGATTTGAGTCTCTACTTGTAGAATCTACGATCCTACTAGTAGAGATTGCAATCGGAGTCTCTACTGGCATAGAATCAGATTCTACCAATACAATTTCCAAATCGTAATCTCTACCCTGACATATACACTGCCATAATGTTGCTGGAATATTGCTAAAAGCGGCGTAAAACCAAACTCAGTCAGTCAGTCTAAAATCGGAGATAAACACCAAATCACTCATTCACCGAATGTGAGACAGGTAGCTCAACGGAACGTCTCCTATGTCGCTAGTAATGACACGTAATGAGGTACATATGAAGATCAAATTATTTAGGGAATGTTGTTTCTGGAACATATATGTCACCTTAACATGACCCTTGGACGTAAAATTAATTAAGAAACCTTCACCTTTGTTATTGTCGGCAACATCAAAGGGTGTGTTGATGAGACGCCTGATATCAGTAATATGGTTATGTCTACCTGTCAGCTACAGGTGAGATCAACACAGCCAATAATCACCAGCTTACTTTCGTTAACGCGCACTTGTCTGGTGATATCTTACCGTTTACCCGGAGTTTCAGGTGTAAATAAACAGGTGTGTCCCCAAACAGAGGTAGGTCCAACAGTTCTGACGTTGTACTTGTAACACTTTACATGCGGCAGGTAAAAACACTTAGTCTACTATCTGTGTACAACACTCCTACTTTTTCACAGGCGAATTCAGCTTTATTAATAGGTAACTCTTAAATGATACTCCAGCTATTAAAAAAAGATGTTTGTATGCAGTTTGGTCAGTAGTTTACTTTGTTTTAACGGACAAAAGAACTGAAAGAGAAATATTATCTTGTATATCATTCCTGGTCCATTTAACTGGTATGTGGTCGATTTTCGTTAGATCAGATGAAAGTTAAATTGTTACCACTGCTGAGATGTATATTCTTCTTCTCCAAGTTATCCCCACTCATGTTAGAAACCTTCTTTTCAATGTGGTTTTCGTCATGTTTGGCAATGGCAACTAGGAAACTGTTTCCTGGGTCATGTCGGCAACGCGTTACCGATATTCTACTGAACAAGTATACCTCGATGTTTGATCATAAATCTCTTGAATTGTCCGCTTTATGTAGTTCTATATTTGAATGTGAATTGTCTTTAAGGGTTATTAACTCTGAATGTTATGAAAAACCTATGCCAACATTTACATCATGTATGAATTTTCTTGGTATACGAAACTTCCGTAAAGGTAAATGCGAATAATATTATCATGAAAGTGTGTGTGAGGCCTGTTTTGTAATAGAAAGTAAAAGTAATGTTCTAATTTATCGCTCATGCTATGCAGTAGAAACTAATGTGTTCTAACAAGAATATATAGATATTTCTAATTTTATACTGTTTGCAAAAAATATATGAATATATCTTGTTGACTGGACATCGAATCACCCAGAAGCAGTTATTGGATGGCCGATGTAATTTGACGCGGATATCACAGTTGTGCGTTGGATCTACGTTTGCAGAGGCTGAGAGACTGTTTTCATCTTGTAGCGTTTTCATAACGAATGTAAAGTATGGTCGTCAAATGGAATTTTCTTTGAAACCTCTTTAGCCCTGCTGTTTATCAAATTTTGAAGATTGTTGGTGTTGCAGTCAGTCTTCAGATTATTGCTCTTGGTTTTCTGTATGTTCAGATTTTACTGAATTACCAATTACAATGATTCTGACTTACTGACCCAGTATATATGAAATACAATACATCTACAACCTTGGGTAAATATGTGCAGCCTATTTCAACACTTTCACTTACAACACTTTATACACGGGGACATGTACCCCAAACACAGAACCAGGTGAACATTCACCACTGCATAATGAACAGTACAGTATGCAAATAGACATGATAAACGCTCTCTACTTCTACAAGCCTGACATACATGTCTGGGGGGAAACTCCGCGTTATTAGAACCTTTTAGATTGCTTTGACCCTTAGACCGGTCATAAATAAAGCACTGGAAGGCACTGACTTGAAAGAAATCAGAAAGTGAGTGTGTATGTTTGACCTGGGCATGGGCGCGACATTATGCTTCAGACACTTTTATCAGGAATCGAATTATTTACAAATGAATAACAAAGACAACCGCCATGGAACAGATTAAACGAAGGTAAATGACTCGTTCGGGAGCATTTGTCTGTGAAAACATGGCGTTTGGTTGTAAAAGGAATAACTGCAGTGGTAGAACCCATGTTTTCTGGTCCGTGTTATTGTGTGTGTACAATATGAGTTATTGCAGACAACAGAAGCGTGCAATTGTATTTTCATATTATAATACTTTTACCGTGTGGAACATTATTGAACACATTCAGACAAAACAATAAAGGCCAGATTACCGAAAGAGAGTGTTATTATAACTGCTGAACGTCTAATACAGTGTACGTTTCGGTAGGGCGACTTATCTCGATAACCGACACAATCCACTTCTCAAACCATATGATTTCTTGGCATCATGGCGCCAGACTCCAAGGGCCATAAGTTGTCTAATCTCGTGTTCTGTGAGACTTTCTACTTATCAATCTCATAATGATATGGTCCCTTTATCTCTTAAGAGGCCCATATATGATATTGTTCGAGTGTGATGCCTGTTTATGTATTGATCATGTAGCCTGAAGATATTAAGCAAACAAGGTAATAAAATATATTTATTACATAGGCATAGTGTCAAGCTGATGTTTGATTGGCCATTCTGCCACCAAGTGTTTACCCTTACACATAGAGAGACCTAATACCACTCGACCCTCTCGGGAGAGCAGTGGCACAAGTAGGCATAAATACCCATGTATTGGATAATTACTAGGACCCGTCTCCTTCAGCCACTGTAAGAGATGAAAGACCTTCCCGGGGACGGCGAAGATTGTTTAACTGGTTATATGTGTTTGGAACGACACACCAGGGACGCAGCCTCGTGTCATTAAAGTTTAACGTAGGGAGAAATGCATTGATGGAGAGTAGAAGCTGTGTGTTTGTACAGAGCGAAGGTAAGTGAAGTCGACAGAAGGAGATCGGTTTTATGCTATGAAATTTATAGCACTAAGAGTTTATTGATACGCAGTAATTCTGCAGAAATGTTGATAATATTTAGATTGTGATTTGAGCTATACGAATCAGTCCGGACGTTTAAATAATAATTGGTTAATCTGTTTCAAAAGATGATAAAAATAATTCAATTTTCTAAAAATATTCTTTGTGGACTTAAGTTTATATTTCATGTTATTCATTTCGAGTTTTCAAAAATGGAAAAAAATGACAATACGATTTTGCTAGCAACATGTCTCCCTCCAAGGTTTTGGACTGTACACTGGCCAGCACATTCCTCTAGCAACACTGTTGCCAGGGTGCATAAGTCTTTGAAAGTCATTAATCAGTGTCTCTATTTCACTTATATGATTATACACTATCAGATAGGACGTATAGGACATGCCGGGGAGGGTTTCCACTCACAAGATTGCACTCATATATCAGTCGGGGGATTTAACCTGTTCTGGAGAGAGACACCGAACTCCGTGCGGGGTGGAGACAGATGATGTTCGGAGATTATATACCGACGTTGTGAAAGTCTAATCAGAAGATACCGAAAGAACTTGATTCAGATGTGTGTTTTTCATACTAAGATTTATTTTTTTAAATTTCAGATCTTATATCAATACGTACTTGTGAGTTAAAGCAGCAAGGTACTCGTACTGGAAGCTTCAACATTGCTTCTACTTTTTGTCATTTGTCTACACACGGGAATTGGATGTACACACGTGCTTGCTAAACAATTTCGCCTCAGGACTGTAGTATTGAGATATGGAATAACACTTCTTGTTTCACGTGCTTTGAGCGGTGCTGTGGACGATATTCAGACCAGTAGCCACATTGCAGCCCCTCAACCTGATACTTTCATAGCTAGTGCTTCCTTGACACAGTCGAGATGACAACGTAGTCAAAGTCAACGGTTTATACTGATATAACGCATCAACGTCATCGTCATGGAGGACACCGACGTCGACCGTTACCTAAAGGAGAGCTGTCGCAGCTTCAGAGAGGCAAAGGTGAAGAACTCCGCCAGGAGAAACTCGTTGATGAAGAAGACTCTCGGGATTGAAAATGAGCGCAAGATGGCGACGGTACAGATGAGCAGGGAGGAGAAACAGCTGAGAGAACAGCTGCGGCAGATGCAGATGGGGAAGAAGGTCACGGGCAACGCACACAAAGGTAGGGAACTCGTCATACTGTAGTAGCAGGTGACAACCAGTGTATATACAGATATACAGTGGTTGACACCAATCATACATGTATGTTTGATGATGCTGATAGGGTCATGGATTTCCATCAAACCGGTTATAGTGAAACCCTGTTATCCGAATTCCTCGCTTTCCAGACGATTCTGCAAGTAACGTCAACATTTATACACAGGCAATAACCTTGACAATCGTTTCGTAAATATAAATGCACGCTTGTAGATGCAGACAGGAGCGGGAACGGAACTGTCGTGGTGGGTGAACTTATGGCTTTTTACCGTGTACCACATGAAGATACTCACTGAAACATTCAAGCATTCAAATATCACGAATATCTCTACATATTCATTTCAAGATTTCTAAAGACAAAGGAGAGAATTTGATTCAATGTTTGTGGATTCTTATGCCAGGACATCCGCATGTATTTTCTGTGTTGGTCCGAACCATCCCCCTGCTGAGGCTTTGCCGTCACATCAAGCTGGCACGCCGTAATATTACCCAGATGCTGCTCTGAGCAGCGTTTAACACTCACCCTCCGAATTGCTATGATATGCTTTGAGAGCGTCTTATATGCATTAATACAGCACACTGCAACCAGTTTGAAGGGTTGATATCAGTGCTGGTCCTCCCCAGTAATTCTCGTCACTGCTGAATGCGTTTATGTAATTATATAACTCATGTTTGTTTGTGTGTTAGATTCTGGTCACCATGAAGCCCAAGAATCTTTATTGTTAATTTATTTATGCAGCTGTAATTATATTTGAAGGTCTTGACAAGAAGACGAAATCCAAGCCTGATACCAAGAAACGTCCGATCCCTTCCGGCGATGTGGATCCTTACCCTGTCACCTTCGCCGACAGGACACCCTCGCCCCACCGGAAGGGCAGACTCGAAGAAAAGGGTAGGTCGGCTCTGTGTTACAAGCTGGTTGATTTGTTGATATCGTTAGACCTGATGTTGGTTGATTTGTTGATATCGTTAGACCTGATGTTGGTTGATTTGTTGATATCGTTAGACCTGATGCTGGTGGATTTGCTGTGATATCATTAGACCTAATGTTGGTTGATTTGTTGTGATATCATTAGACCTGATGTTGGTTGATTTGTTGTGATATCATTAGACCTGATGCTGGTGGATTTGCTGTGATATCATTAGACCTGATGTTGGCTGATTTGTTGATATCGTTAGACCTGATGCTGGTGGATTTGCTGTGATATCATTAGACCTGATGCTGGTTGATTTGTTGTGATATCATTAGACCTGATGTTGGTTGATTTGTTGTGATATCATTAGACCTGATGTTGGTTGATTTGTTGTGATATCATTAGACCTGATGTTGGTTAATTTGTTGTGATATCGTTAGACCTGATGTTGGTTAATTTGTTGTGATATCGTTAGACCTGATGTTGGTTGATTTCTTGTGATATCGTTAGACCTAATGTTGGTTGATTTCTTGTGATATCGTTAGACCTGATGTTGATTGATTTCTTGTGATATCGTTAGACTCAATGTTGGTTGATTTGTTGTGATATCGTTAGACCTGATGTTGGTTGATTTGTTGTGATATCGTTAGACCTGATGTTGGTTGATTTGTTGTGCCATCGTTAGACCTGATGTTGGTTAATTTGTTATGACAACTTAAAACTTAATATTGGTTGATTTGTTGTGATATCACAGCTGATTATGGCTCTTTCCTCTGGTAAGTTTGATATAGACCCAGTAAGTACCACAATTTGCTTAGAAGAGTTGCGTCCCTTTTCTGTGTCAGGGCATACAGGGTTCAAATGCCAAATTTGGGAAATGCCACGTGCCATCGGTTTCACTAGTGTTGTAAACACGCACGCACGTCAAACCACCGTCCTGAAAGAGGACTTTTAATCTCAATTAACACCTTCTTTTTTGAAGAGACACAAGTTATATGGATTGACAACTTCTGTATTGCGATTGATGCATATTGACTCTGTCTGTGATGGACCTGGATGGAACTCAAGCTTCCATGCTTCAACCATTTATTGTCTCCAACCATGTTTTGCTTCCTGACATGAGTGAGTGAGTTTAGTTTTACGCTGCACTCAGCAATATTCCAGCTATATGGCGGCGGTCTGTAGATAATCGAGTCTGGACCAGACAATCCAGTGATCAACAGCATGAGCATCGATCTGCGCAATTGGGAACCGATGACATATGTCAACCAAGCCAGCGAGCCTGACCACCCGATCCCGTTAGTCGCCTCTTACGACAAGCATGGGTTACTGAATGTTCATTCTAACCCGGACCTTCACGGGTTGCTTCCTGACATGGATCATGTTTCGTGTGTTTTATACATTACATACCTAGCATTCAGAAATGTATGTGTACTTTAATAAATCGACATTTCCCAGTCGAGACTGGCGTGACACGGTGTAGTCGCGTGTTATCTCCGCCGTGGTGTACGGGTCACGGGCACATCGATTGCCTGTCAAAGGATGTGTTTAGTCAAGATCACCAGTGAACTTCCGACTTATTTAATCAAACACGGCGCCGAGGTTACCACGGCATCAGACAAATGAAATATTTGCTTCAATATATAGCCAAACTGTACATCGGCGATTGGTCTTAGCGATAACTGAAACCGGTCCTCCAGATATCCCTGTATCTTTGTGAAACCTTGTGTATGTGTAAGCACAGATCAGCCAAATGGTGTAATGCAGATCTTAGGCTACCGACCCATATACAATAGTTAATGTCATGCAGCATTTTACAAGCCATTTATGAAATCGCAGCTATAAGTTTCCCAAATTCACATACACACGCACACACAAGTCCCATCTCGTATGAAGATACCAGTTGTTTGCTCGCATGATTTCAGCTTTAGTCGCGCCACAATTTCATTTTCATTTAGTGGCAGTCTTGTAGGTTTTAACTCTTTCTTTGGTCAAGTATTGCCTCAGTACTTTAAAGGTGCTACCACATAATCAACCAGAATCCGGCCTGCGTTCCACTAAGAGATCACAGAACTACAGACTCGTGCCCTATATATTCGGACACTTGATGTAATTCCCATGTACATGTTATTTCAGTGTAGCATAAATAATTTTCATGAGGGAGTGTAGGATAGATCTTTGTAAAATTTGACAGGCAAATTTGAAACCATCTCTGCTCTGCGCACAAAGTTTCAATTTCAATTTTCCGACCACTATTTTACTAATGACATCACATTTACCCTCTAATTCCACAATGCACAACCCCATAGGCCGCCATGTTAAAGGAGTTCACGGCACTGTACATATGTTGATTAAATTGTTGCCGTTCGATAAATAAGCAACGGAAAATTAAACAGAAATTACCGTATGTCATTGTAGGTAAGATGATTCCTCACAAATGTGCATAATTTGACTTGGATCATACGAAAATTAAATTCATGAAAATTATTCATCCTACACTAAATTAACATGTAAGTTTATGGAAGTTACCTCAAGTGTCCGAATATAACTGGCACGTGTCTGTACTTTGATACACTAACATAGACTGTGTGGCCTACAATTGGAGCCCACGATCCTAGGGTTCTGACCCATCTAAGAGGAGCAACTCTGCACAGGGAATTCGACGCCTATGGCGACTGGGAAAGTCGTGACATGTATAGAAGTATTTGTAAGATTATACAATTCAACATGTTCCCAGTGACGAAGGCATCTAGCTCTGTAGAAGTGCGTTTCTTAGCCGGTCTAGAATCCAGTAGCCGATGCTCCCGAGTCCGAATCATCATTTGGGTGGAAGTGAATGATTTCTTTGACGTGTTTTCCAGATCAAAACTCCACCCCTTTATCATAACGGAAAGTATTCTTTCACCAATCCTGTTTTCTGTACACTGTTTCAGGTCGACTGTACGCTGCCAGACGACAGAGAAGAACTTCGCGAGAGTTCGAAGATCTCCGCGTGAACACGACGACAGGAAAGCTCCTTGCAGCGAAGACTCACAGCTCCAAACTGCTCATTCCATCTAGCCTCTCGCCCTACATAGCCAGGAGGATCATAGGATCGCAAAACAGCATGTCTTCCAGCGATGACCTTACTGGATCCGATGAAACGGAAATTCCAGGACCAGAAAGTTTGTCGGAGGAGCCAAGGAGCAAAGAAGAACTCCCGACCTCCAAGACTAAAGGTGGTTCAGCAGAGAAGTGACATGGACAGAAAATACACTTCTGTACAAGTCTTTGGTACAGGCTCTGACTCTTGATACACGAATGCCCGATTTCAGCGGTAATATCCCCCACAATCGACCTTGCGTCTCTTTGACATAAGCGACGTCTGTGTGTCAGTGTGAAACGAGTCAACTCAAAGACGTCTCAATTTTGATGTCATCAAAGTGGGTTTGAATAGTCAAGATGTGGATGTATGTAGATTACATCCTCATGAGACCTTGGGGTAGGATTCGATTCCATCGACAGACGACCCTTACTCGTGTACCAACCAGGGCCATACTTGTCCCTCCCATGACTGACTTCTTGCAGGATGCATGTTATATGTATAGTTTCCACAACAGGTACAGTGTTTATACCCGTACTGTGCATGATTGAGTTGTTTGATTGTTGTAGAGACTTCCATTGCCATTATAGTGTTGTTGGGTGGAAGTAGTATATAACTAAACCTGATAATTAGCGTGTATAACCTTTGAATGGCTGCCGAGCATTATGCTTGCTATGTTAGTAAAGATGGGGATATTTTCATTCGAACCAAGAATAGTAATCAACTTTGAAAGAATGGGTGTCTTAAATACAGAAGGAAGTCACACCAATGATATTGAAAAAATCTGTCTGTTATGGTGCCTTCGCCTATGGATTGACAATAGTGTCCCATCTGAAAGGAAAGCAAACGTATAAATATTGAAGGAGTGGCCTGACGGATTGGATCAGATGTTTCTGAACATCTCTTGGGAACTGGCAGGCTTCGCTTGGTTTACTGTTGGTGCAGTGACCATGAATTGATGTAAATGATGTAAATTCATTAGTAGTCCCTTTAGATGTGTCGTATCGCCTTCAAACTGACTTAAATATATACTACGCCGAAGATTACGACATATGTAGGAATCAGGTGTACATTAACATTTTAAGTTGATACGGTGACCATATTATGTCTAGAGCATGTATTTGTACCCTGTTTAAATCTTAGACATAATCATAATGCAATGAGGGTTATTGAAATACATCATTCAGATGTAACTAACAGAACAAGAACAATCAATCAATTTGCTGAGGCTAGTTCCCTTCTAGTGCTATTTACGTTGACATCTTCTGTCACAGATATCGAGGAACAAAACAACATAAACATACACATAGGTGTTATTGACCTACACTTATGACACCGGGTGTTTGGGGAACAGTGCGCGCTAATAGTTCAATCATTGATATGTTACAGCATGTTAACTGAGAAAAGAACTGGTATTTGAACTACGCATGTTAAAGTCGGCCGGTACCTTAATAGTTTGCGACAAAATAAATTGCGGTTGTTAGTGCTGGGTCATTATTGATTATTTAGCTAATGATGGTTCATTGGGAAAGATAAACCTCCATTTGTAATGAGTTCAGCCTCAATAATCCAGTGTGTTACGTCCCCATTAGGTCGCAACAGCTTTGTTTCGGATGTGACGTCACACCTCCATCGCGCATGTCCCTAGTTTAAGTAGAACGTCTGCTCGTCAAAGTAATTCGACTAGTAGCTTGCTATTTAGCGTCTTTTCTCATCAGATCAGACATTATATATAATGCACTGAATAATCGAAGTTTTAAAGACTCGAATAATCTAGATTTCAGCAGTCGCCCAATCACCAGACGAGAGTGCTAAAATAGATTTACATCTTTATATACCATTGTTACGAAGTTCTGTCACTGATTGCACAGTTATTTGGTCATTCATATTGGTCAAGCGAACTGCGGTTTCTTCCAGCTTGACCACTAGTGTGTGACACATAGCTTTACCATTGTTAGCATGGTGTTCGTGTCTGGGCCTAGCCGTCGATGTGTGTCTCTGATGCATATGAATCACTTTTACTATATTCGAATATGTATTAGTTTGTATGCGTGATATCTGTTTCTTTGGGGTTGATGTTTTATACAAAGACAGGGGTTTTCCGATAACCTTCGTCATGCACAAGGTGAGATCTTGTCCCCAAGCTGAGACCGGTTTAAGGAAAGGTCAGTTACTTTGTCCAGCGATCTAGTATGGCTTTTAGTTTACAGATTGCTAGAGTAGTTTAACAAGCATCCCAATAACATCCGTCCGCTGCACTGTATATATACTCCTATCGGAAAGTTAAGTTGACTTATAGTTTTCGAGTTGTAGCAAGCCCCCATAGACGGGCTAGCAGGTCTAGTTTCTAGCAGGTGTTGTGTTCAGACACAAGAAGGACACCAAATACATTGTCGACTATTAACAAAAGTTATAGGTATGACATTCTAACGGCCAATCAAGAGTCTTTACTTCAGAGATTCCATTTTAATCTGGAGTCCTGTCTGCTTGCCCAGGATATGAGACCCGTTCGTGTGGTTTCACGTTTCACCAAGACAGTAGACACCTATGACCTGATTCACTGAGAGCTGTATTCCCACTTAAGCGAGTGAATGAGTATAATGTTACGCCGCTGTGTACAGTACTACAGTTATATTACGGAGCGTCCGCTTCTGTGGGAGGAGAGCCCGGATGATGCAGGTCGACTTTCAAGAAACCAACGAGAACGGCTAAGATGCAGAGAAACCTAGAAATTTACCGGAATTGGAACCCGCAACCATAGGTTCCTCCCAGTTTAAGCTCACATAACCATTCAAAACTGCGTTTCACGCCACTCGCCTCCCGTTCCGCACCTAACCCTTCCTCCCTCCCACACTTCATCCCAACCAACCAAGGACATGTACGTTGATGTACATGTATATGCCTTTATGAAGTGTACTCGGTGTTTGACATGATCCTGCTATCCTTCTTAGGTTTAATATTTAATATCCAATTTAATGAAGGCGTAAATTTGCTTATAATGTACAACAGTTTTAATATGTTTAATAAATACAATACACTAATTAATTACCGGGCTCTGTCCTCTATCTGCGATGATCACACAAGAGTCGGGACACCACCTGGCCGAAAGGAAGAAAATGGCCCCTCGCTACTACATGTGTTTAGATCTTAAACACAAACATAATTGGTTACATGTTAATCTTTCAAAAGATCAGAAGCCGTTGCACGTCCAAAGGACTGGAGATGCGTATAGTTACTAGTTTGTCCTCAAGTAATGGCATGCGCCCCTGAATGTGGCACTAATCCACAGACCTATATGTACACTTAACACTGCATTACAAACATCAACCTTGCGGTTATCATTATCCTGATAAAGAGACCAAGTCACTAATTACATACAGACCCAAGTTTCAGATTTGAATACATCTCTTATTACAATGTCTACAATAAGACCGACCATGGACACAAGATCTTGAGGAAATGTGCCTCCCTTTTATTCAGGAAAATATTCACCATTTTACGTATTGTATCGTGTATGACATATTTGTATGACCTCTCTTTGAGATACTTGTTGCGTGACAACCCTGTTCCCATCATCGATTATGCAGGGACATATATCCACATTATGCTTTGATAAATGCCCGGGATCCATTGACCACCAAATTCCGTTTGCAAGGAAGTGAGTTTACTATGCCATGTTTCTTACCACTAACGATACACAGAACGTCTCTGACTGGATGGTTAATGTACACGCTTTCTTAATCGGACTTAACACAAAGCTATGGTAGCTAATGGACTTAACACAAAGCTATGGTAGCTAAATTTTTATCAGGATGGTGATATAATACACTGGATAATCGAGGACGCGCAACATCATGGGGCTAGGTGAATTGTAGCTGCTCACCAAAATCGTTAGCTGTTCCCATATATAACTACACGTGGTCAGAATAATGAGCATAGTGACATCAACATAGACCCATCTTCGATCTCACCTTCACGAGGATGTCATACACTCTGGTATCCAGCATACTGCTATTTGTCTTGGCATCCTTGAGTTGAGTTAACTAGACTGGGATTTCATACAGAACGCATGACCATGCCTGCTCAAAAATTCATTGACATATATTTTATTGATTCGTCAGTCCTTTGCAACATAAAACCCCAAAACTGTCAATTTTTGGCATACCGGATAAACAATTCAGTACATCCAGCTTACATCACTACGGGCCCCCGGGATGCCGCTTAACAGGTCCAGGCATCCGTCGTCCCAAAAGGGTGCCAATTGGCAGCTCCTTTACAAGCATCCTGTTTGTGAGCATGGCGTTGTGGTCTGTCATTTCTTCCCCAGTCGTTTAGGTGAAGCATTTGTTTCTTTCTGACCTCTCCTGCTGGGTGGGCTTCCTGGAGTGGGGGAACGTCCTGGATGATCACCAGGTGGCGCGCCAAGGGAGTTAACTCTCTTATGAAGGTCTGACACCGACCTCTGTAAAGGTCGATGTGACTTGTGCAGCAGACTGGGCTTGTTGTCATCTATCGACTTGTGATGTGACTCGTGTCCAGTGGGTGGTCGTCTTGGGCTGGAAGTTTTGGGGCGAAGGAAACCAGATTTATGTGTGAGCGCAAACAGATGAAGACTTCCGGTGGCAGTATGCATCAGCAGATCTTCAAATTCTTTGGACTTCCGGCGGCCACGACTTCTGGTGTACTGGAAACCTTGACCAAACAGGAAGGGGTTGTAAATATTGTGAAATAAGTAAAGTTGCTTGCCTTAACGTTCAGTTTTACAGTTGCGCTTGTGGGACCCACCAGGTAAAAACTGTTCTTGGAATCTTTGGCCTTTTCACTGTTTGATAGTCTCTAATAACTTCGGGGCTAAGTTTGCACCATTGCGCTGAACGATTTCATTGACATTGTCTACATTTGTGTGTGTGTTTACGATTAAATAAAAAGTCTGGGAAGTTATCATTCTTTGCTTATTTATTGCTAAGAATTGACTTTAGTTAATATATGTCTTTTGAGGGCAAAAACATAAAAACCACTTTATATCTCCATAAATACTGGGCCACTTCGAAGCTAAATGTGCTTACCTTCCGTACTGAATCTGCTGGATGGGTCGAATACATCATTGCCACACTTGTTCTGCATCAGGGTGACGAGATCCACCTCCGCCTCGCTGTCATCTGTGAAGAACACATTAAAACACATGTAAAGCAAGGAGACTGCAGGGAAACAGTTCTCATAGGAGAGACGCCTTCTATACGAAATGCCCAATTACAACAGTAACTGTACTTAAACTATGTATGCAGATAACACTGCCGATGTTGTTCTTTCCTGTGACTGTGTTGGTCCGAATGTCTTATAACGCTGAACATGCAGTTGATCAGCTACCAGGTGATCATGAAATGGTTTTGTTTGACCGTAAATATCGCTTTACGCTATATCGCTTGCGCATATACCACTGCTTGCTGCAAAGAGGAATGACACAAAACACAGTTGCCAAAATTTAAGGTTCATCGGAACAGAGCATCAGAGACGTCATCAGACGTCATCTACAGCAGGGCAATACTCATGACTTGCCATGGGCCGGTTGTCCACGTGTGACGTCACGGCAGCAAGACAACCATGTTCGGTTTGTGCATCTACGGAATGTACACTAAACTGCAGCATTAACAACTCGTACAATTCGTGGGGACCAGTTAGTGGTAGAACCGTACGCATCCAGTTGAAATAGCACCACACCCGACCCCAAGGCCTGGCAATACCCCAAATTTGCGTATCCAGAATGGAGGAGAGCATTACTCACTATTGGCAATTTGTGTATGGTGTACACATGACGACATTCGACGTCATAATCTACCCTTTGTTCAAATACAATGGGTAACGTCACCTCACAGCAGGGCCCCGTTCCTCAAACCGATCGTAGCGCTAGGTTGATCGTAACTCCTATACTTTAACATAGACTTACGACTGTCGTAGCGCTGCGATCGCCTAGAAGAACGGGGCCCAGGACCATTACCATGGTGCACGCATTCCAGAATTTGTGAAGCATCAACGTTGGCTGGATTTGGCTAATCTTTGGCTGACATGAGAAACAACATCCCCAGCCAGTTTGCAATCATCTGGTGTCGTCAATACTAAGTATGTCGACGTTGTCACGCCTGTACGTATATATGGTGGTCACGCCCGATATTGACATTGTTAACTGAGTCGTTGCATCGCCCATCTTTTAAAGCGAGTCTTTTTGTCTCCTGGTATGTTTTTCGCCAGTTAATATCTAACCATAAAACACTGACAAAATGAATGACAAAATATTATGTTCTTATTGTGATTAACATGACATTTACGCTATATTATGTGAAGCACATTTACTTTCTTCCGCCAGTATGTAAAGAAAATCTAAAGTTCGTATAACATACATACGATTGGTAAAGAATAGAGATTGATTGGTACAGACGTAAGTTTCATTTGATAGTCATTTACTCTATAGTGTCTCGCCGACCATTACAATAGAACTTTGTTATCGCTTCGTCTGTACAGGATACTTAAGCCTAAATAATAGGCTTGATGGTTGTTCATTGACTGATTGAAAGACAACCCCGTATCCATGCTGCAGGTGTTTAGTGTCGACCGGCAGACCAAAGTTACTGTATCAGTCAACAACAAGAGTGTTAACACCTGTAGGCCGGAACGGCAGGTGATAAGGGTATTAATGAGACACGATAGATCGGAAATCAGGCTTTGATCAGGTTTAACCCCTGTGATAGCGACGCCACGTGAACATGGCTTGGCGCTAGCGTCCATTGCACCTGCCCTGGGGGACCAACACATTACATTGATCAATGTAGACAAAAACTAATGCAAAGCAACGTCAGTTTTACCGTAATCCAGACAAATATTTCGTACAGCGGGTAGATTATTTGTCGTAAAACGTGAATCGTCCTACATAGATGAAATTCAGAATCGTCAATTGTTGTACAGCTGAAGATTTTTAATACGTACAACTTTCCTTCATACAGCTTACTGATACGTTAGAGAAATAAGATGAGACATTGCCGGTAAACGTGCCACAACATTATAACTAAACCATTTGCTGTTATATTTTTAAAACTATATTTTGAAAAGTTATCCACCACCAAGATGTTACCCTATCCCAAACAGCTTCACTACATTTCTACAACAGTGTATCCAACATTCAACTCCCCCGGGACTTCACAAATCGGGCTGCATAGTTCAACAATTACCATCCGATCAGTCAAATACCAACAACGAACCATTGCTTATTAGTCCACTAATACATACCACAAAATATACAACTGATATATACAACTCAACGCTGAGAAGTAGTAAGGGAAAGCCATACCGTCTGTGCGTGATTTGTGTTGGTCAGTCCTCAGCTTTGTCAGTCTGTCCAACATGGCCTTTCGTTCCACGTCCACTCTCTTCGACATTGTCCGAGGGGACACAAACGTGTGTGTTACGGTAAGGATGATACACAGAGGTCTTCAGAACATCAGTGTTTGATTTCTCTGGGTGGTGCACATTCCAGGGTAAGCGTAATGGCCGCTATCACGTACCGATATGTGCTGAAGATCTGTATAAGTCGCTTTAATACATTAAATGCGGCATTGGATCAAGAGAATTGTGAATCACCCCAATTTTGACTCAGTCGCAAATCCGGGTGAAATCACTATCTCATGACGTCATCCATGTAAATTCTGTAATTCCATTCTCATTTATTTATCACAGTTACATCCGACGTACTTTATGAGCACGGGGTGTACACCTCTAGGTGCCCTTGACGCCTGCTGGGCTGATTCCTGTCATACACGACATCACCTTCAGGAGTGTCTATAGCAGTGAAGGGGGCGTGTCGCCGCACGGACCTCAATGTAAACAACCCTTTCAGGCTCGAGCGTGGTGACGTTAGACTGTAATCGAACCCCTTCTAATTAAATCCATGATAAATCGGAGGAGTGTTGATTTCGCCACTTTCATGTCGACCTTTGATTGATCCTTCGTAATATTATTTCAAACGTTAACAGTTTGGGTCGATAAATGTAACATTCTTCAACGAGCATGCCTTTGCACTGTTTCTTCTATACGAGCTACATGCAAATAACTTGAAATTGATAATGTCTACCAGTTGTAAACAGCAATAAGCTTTGATTTCAGTCATCGCTCAGACTGCTGACACAGTTGGATATACAACTGTATTTTAATTCTCATAATCGCCACTTTGTATTTTTCCATCTGATTTCCTTCCACGGGATACTTATTATACTCAACTCAATGGGAGTCCAGTTCTGAGGACACTGTTTAGAAATGGGCCGTGGAGTTCAACAGGGGAGGAAGGAGCCCGGACTAAGAAACATGGAAATCAAAGGCTTGGGTTCCCAGTTATCAACCGGACACTTTACAACACCCAAAGCGTAGATGTAGGAAACAACCTCCGATGATGACGATGTCAATTTGGCTTCGGTTTCCTGTGGATTCCAAACTTTCTCTCAAAAGGTCAGACCATGAATCGGTCAATATTATGCTTATTCGCTAAAGCAACTGCGTGATAATACCAAGGCTCAACGCCGTGTATAACTTGCTTTAAGTGGTTCCTTCACTATGACAATGCAGCTGTGAAGACGTCTGCTGTCGCCATGGTTGCGATGCATGCATGTGACTTTGAACGTTTTACCTTATCTACCAGATTTAGCGTTTGTCCCAATTGTGTAGATAGATGTTCATGGTGTCAATCTCAGGATAGTCTGTTCCAGACTTGATGATCAACAGAATGCTGGAATACTCTGTGTGTGGCGTTAAGCAGCAAACAGAGAACTAACAAAAAACAAAACTTAACTTCACTGTGGATTCTGGAGTGAATTTGGCGTTAGGCTTCATACAGGATATCGCCATGCAGTGCGTGCATGCTTCAACAAAGAGTTTTGGGACCTTTTTGAAAGCCTTATCAGGGATATGTGATAAATGTGTTATAATACCGAACGGGTGTATGATATTGATTAACAGGTAGCAACAGTGTGGATGATACTAGTATATAACATTCTGGCGTCAGTCTGGTTATAGTGATCTTATGCCTAGCGATATGAAAGAGATATTTCTGTTAATGGAAATGATTCTTGTATCTGTTTCTTGTCCAGTCCGATTTATAATGATGAAAGAAATGATTCATACTTTCATGACTGCTTGCTTTTGCTAAAAGTATTAAGTTAATGATCATGTGATTTTATATAATGCCTTCATAGCTATAGCCATGTACTGGAGAGGTATTAGGGGCGGTGGGGTAGCCTAGTGGTTAAAGCGTTGGCTCGTCACGCCGAAGACCCGGGTTCGATTCCCCACATGGGCACAATGTGTTAAGCCCATTTCTGGTGTCCCCCGCCATGATATTGCTGGAATATTGCTAAAAGCGGCGTAAAACTAAACTCAGTCAGTCAGTCAGTGGAGAGGTATTAACATGAGACTTCTTGGCTTGTATACCCATCAAGATTCAAGAGCATATTCTTGTTGAGATGTAGGGACATACTTGATCTGAATTTAAAATCAAGTTCATATTATCCAGGTATTACATGTAAAATCATCAACTTGGTTGTAGAAATCAGAAGCACTATTGTACTCGCACATTTTAGATGCAAGAAAATGCAAATCACTAAATACGGGCTGGTTTAATATTAGGGCGCAGATTCAGGGACCGTTGTGACGTTTGATTGACGTACGCTAAAGGTGGATTTCAAATGGTATTAAACTGACACATGTCAACATAGACGAGTGTGTTATCAGTTTGGTAGGTAAGACGAATATTGGGGATTTACCAGTGGGAAACAGATTCAAATCTTTACTGCCATTCAGAAAGTGGCCAGATGTAACAGCTGTTATATTTGAGAATTAACTTTCTCAGGAAAGTCCCATCTGGGATTCCAACCCACACTCTCAGTGTGGGGCACGTAATCGTTAGCACACAAAGTCAGCGATCTAACCCACTCAGCCTCCACAAAACAGAAGTCCGACAACTGGTGGTCACGATCACGTACTTTGTGTACCCTCTGAGAGTGTGGGATCGGATCCCGGCTGGGACTCAACCTCCAAAATTACTAAAATCTGTGTGAGAATAATGTATAAGGATGGTTATATTGTGGACGAGTACGAGCATGTTGCTGAAACCGGCAAGAAACATATGGTCAAGGCGAACCAGGTTCCAACCCACGAGGGGCGGTTGGGTAGCCTAGTGGTTAAAGCACTTGCTCGTCACGCCGAAGACCCGGGTTCGATTCCCCACTCGTACAAAGTGTGAAACCCATTTCTGGTGTTCCCCCGCCGAGATATTGTTGGAATATTGCTAAAAGCGGCGTGAACCCATACTCATTCACTTGAGTCATTTACTCCAACCCACAATCATAGGTTTCTGTCACCCTAGGGCACCGAGATGTCAACACTAACGTATTTGTATCTACTGTAAATCACCTAACGTCTGTGAGTGTTGTGGTGGGGATGCGTGAGGCACGCAGATTATAAGCATATCATAGCGTGTCATCTTAACGCGGGGAAAGACTCTAGGATGTTTACCACTTTGAAACCCACGAGCAAGAATATGGTGCTGAGCAAGCTAGAAACGAAACACGGGATAATAGGTTTTATTGCGCCAAAGGGTCGCACTTCTTCACAGGGAACTGCACTGCTTCAGATGATCGGCCACCAATGCCCCTTATGAGGGTGAAGTAAAACTGTATAACTCTTTGTTGGAACGCAATAAAACCAATATACCATTAAGGAAGGATAACATTGGATGAACAACTTCTTTATTGCTGTGAGAGCGACGTTTCGGTGTAGGTTCTAACACCGTTATCAAGCAAGTGATGAACAGCATAAGGATGGAGGAGCATATATACAAGTTAGAGCAGATGTTTGTACAGTCCAATGGGGATTAGGAAGCCAGACACAATAACAACACAAGGGCTAGAAGCCAGACACAATAACAACACAAGGGCTTTGATGAACACGTTAACAAATGAAGCCTGGAAGGTACACAATGAGAAGTGAAACCTGTGGTATAAACAGGAGATTATGAGGATGATGCGTTGTATACATAAATGGGGGATTATGAGGATGATGCGTTGTATACATAAATGGGGGATTATGAGGATGATGCGTTGTATACATAAATGGGAGGATTATAAATGGAGATTATAGAGGATGATGAGGATCATTAATGATTAGCTGGTAGTACGCAGGAGGTATGTAGTAACCTTGGTCACGGTTGATTGATGGCTGGAGTCTTTTGATGTAGATGGCTTCTTGGAGTTTCCTGAGTTTATAGTCTTTGACGTTGGTGTTTAGGGTTTGGGTTTGGTCCCACTGGATATTGTGGTGGGGATTGTCTTTGATGTGATCTGAAAGGGCTGATTTTGGTTGCCGACAAAGACATTTTAATCTGAGTGAGTTGACATGTTTAATTGTGATAGAACAATGTATATGAGACTGACAAGACTTGTTCACTTCTGGTCGGAGTTACCCGTTTCATCTGTACAATCCGGCACGCTGTCTAAACCGGATTATTTCTTTAGTCTAGTCCCGACGAGTGTCGGTTTAGACAGCTTCCACTGTATATTGTTATCCTTCCTTACTGCTCCAACGTCTAGATGCCTCTCAAAGAAGCAATATACCATTAACATCAATATGTATATACACACTGTCCATGTTTACACAAGTGACGACCGTGTGACTTTCACATCCTGTGACCGATTCTCACAATAAAATGTGTCGGAACCAAAAATGAAAACATTAGTGATATATTTATTCAAACACAAGTACAATCAAAATACTGTTTTCATATCATTTAACATCATATTGCGTAAAAGAGTATAAATCGTAAACGTACTGGTTTGGCGTCGTGGCACCGTTGTATAAGAAAGAACAAGACTGGTCGTTACTTACTGGCAAGTTATTACGGGTGGATTTGTCATCATTGATTACATGGCTATTGGAACGCTTTCCACACTGAGGTCACTTTTATTTCGGGTACGCCACAATGCAGGCGTGAAAAGAAGACTTGAAAATGCTTTGGTTAGATAGCACTATTTTGGATGAGGCTTGATTCGACATTAAAGGTCCATGAAGTGAATTGGTGTTCGACGTCTACTTGACGGTGGTCTCGTCTGGTGGCAATCACAGTTCATGTACCGGAATATCTTCACGCAGTGCTCTCCCTTTACGCTAAATTCCGTGGCCACCAGATGTCCCTCTCGGCCGACGCTGATGGAGTGTATTGCACCTGCGCCGTCTACAGGGGAGAGGAGTTGTTGAAGGAGAACCCCTCTCTCGGTGTACAGGTTCACTGTATGGTTAAGCGTGTCGGAAACGAGTACCTCACCCACAAGGTTCACACAGATTCCCCCTGGAACAAGCGCGAGAGCCTCCCCACAAGAACTAGGCCGGAACCTGTTCAGACAGCGGCCATCATACGCGAAGAACTTGACCTGGGAATCAGCTGGGTCACTGACTATGATTTCTTCTTTGTTGTTCGCACAAATTTGAACAGGGCAGCTTGAAGTGGCTTTCCCGCCAAGTTTGAATGAGCGCAACAGTTTCCCAACACGGCCATGTATTTCTATTGTCCTCGCCGTTGTTGCCACTATGATCTTGAAAGAGATATCACAGGCAAGGCTATATGGTTCGTGTTCGGTTGGAAACAGATATTTAAATTTTCCTTCCGCTGTGAAGACTTGAATTCTCTTGTTGCGTCTGTCTGCCACAACCAGATCGCCATTGGGCAGCTCACAAACATCAACGGGCTCATTAAACTGACCTGGTTCCGTGCCTTTGACTCCAAACTTCACCTTGTAAACGCCCATTTGATTTAGGATTTGGACACGGTGGTTCTGACTGTCCGCAATGACGATGTCGCAGGAGTCAGTAGCAGTCAGGCCGCGTGGGTAGTGGAAGTCGCCGCTCTGGGTTCCGAGCTCACCCGTCCTCAGAAGGAGCTTGTCTGGTCTGGACAGAAAAATGGCTATTGTCTTCATGACGTATATTTTGTCTGAGACGTTAGTTTTGTTCAGATAAAAGAAGTGAAGAATGTCCCGGTTGAAATAATGAATGTATATTGTTTCCTGAACAACTGAATCTTATTGAATTTATTAACACACCGGAGTAATATATTCAAGAAATATAATTATTATGTAAAACGACTTTGAACCGATATAAAAAAGGCAGAGTGGAAAGTTTTGTTTGTTGGTTTGTTGTTTAACGCCGCACTCAGCAATATTCTATGTGGCGGTGGCCTGCAAACAATTGAGTCTGGACCAGACAATCCAGTGACCAACAGCATGAGCATCGATCTGTCCACTCGATAACGTTATTCGTGTCTTACGACAAGCATAGGTTGCTGAAGACCATTCTAACCCGGATCTTCAAAGATCGATTTTAAAAAATAATGATGGCATAGCATTGGTAAAATCAGATGCCAATACAGTTAGGCGTAATCAGGTACTGACGGTCTCTTGCCACGCGTCTTCTCCTCGGGCGTTTTGTGCAGATTCTCCGTGTATTCATACGTCTGCCTCAGACCACGTGACAGCAGTTTCGCCTCCCAATCCCGGGGGTCTCTCATTTCCCGGGCAAACTCGGGTCCACAGTCATGCGCTGCAAAGAAGCGATATAAGGACGAATATTTAACTCAAACGAAAAGATGGAAATTCCTTGAACTGAAAAGCAATATTCTGCTGAAGTCCATGTTCGAGACGGCATACTCAAATTTAATGGTACCACTGGTCAAAGGAGCTACACAGTAAAATATACATGTATATATTTGAGATATATGTATTTGAGATTAAATCACTTATAAAGCATATTACAAAAAAGGATAGTGAAAGAAAATTGTATAATTTGTTTTGCTATACAGTTCGTAACTCGTAACTATACAAATTTAACATTACTAAGGGTGGTAATTGAAGCGTTCGTAAAATAGCATCTTGAGTATTAAAAGTTCTGGCAGGTTGTTGTAGAATATCAAATGTTCTTAGTTTGTTTGCGTGTAAGTGTCCTTTGTCGTACACAATTACGCCGACCGCTATTGTTAATCTAAATTTTATGAGAAAATAAATCTATTTGGGACTATGTTTTCTTTCCTTTTCTTTTAGGGGTCAGTCCTTACTAACAATCTAGCTTGCACTGAACCTTCCAACAGTTAGTTAGTTTTACGCCGTCTTTAGCAATATTCAGCAGTGTAACAGCGGAGGGAGGGTGGGGGTGGCGGAACAGCAGAAATAGGCTTCACTCAAACTGTCTGCAAGAAAAGGGGTTTACAAAGGACTGGGTAACTCACCTGGCCTGTCCCCCTTCTGCTTGTACAGGTGTCTGTTGGCATCATGGTACAGTTGTCTGTAAGACCTGGCAGGAGCCGGGGGTTGGGGATGTGTACCCCAGACTGTACAGTCGGTAGCGGGACAGGTAGTCGACCATACTTCACCTGACACAACACAGTTGGTTACATAAGTGTGGGTTATGTTGGTTTTATGACAGGAAAGTATTAACACTGTGTGACAGAGAAAACATTTATTTTTCAAACGAGATAACCCAAACTCGTTATAATGGAATATATTATTCCGAAACGTTATTGTTCTGCGTGAAGATCTGACAAGCTTTCCACGTGAGGGCGTCAGGTGGCATGACAATCAGCCAATCAGTGTGAAGGGATAAAAATTCTCAGAATGACCGAACCAACCATTCAGAGAAGCATTTCTGAAGCTGGAACACGAGAGGATATCGTGTCGAGGTTAAAGGGCTTATTTTAAGGGATACTGGAGATGGCATGCGAATGTGAAAACTTATTATTAGCTGTCGAGACGAAATCGTAGCATCTCGCCAAGACGGATAGGCCGTGATGTCAACCATGGTGACGTCACAATTCAACAATGATGTAGGAAAATATAATAAGCTGGGCCCTGTATCTATGACGTCAACAATGCTACCTACAGGAAGTTTAGTCTCGAATGATTTATTTTTTCCAATTCCGAGGGACTTTCAACATTATTTCATTTGTGAGTTGTCACGACACTTTCCTCTATTTCACTCCTAATGTTTCTTTCTGACCAAAATGTGGGTCTCTTGATCCTAAGTTTGATACGTCATGAACAATCGATGACGTCATCTTCGAGTATTTGTGTAAAGAGATACTACGTGACCATGCCAGCATGGTCTTCTTTGAACACAATCACAACGAGACATGTGGAACAAGCGTTTGATCTATGATCGACCGTTAACTATCAGTAGAATGAATGAGAGCAGTGGCGTTACATCAAAATTATGATACATTTATTACAGTTTACTGGGAACCACTGTGGTGATGAATAGATATTGTCCCCGACAAATGTCCACATCTCGTGACATCTCTTTGATTGGTATTAATATAATATAGAAATCGTTATTTGGTTATCTTCATTATGTATTCAGTGGATAAATACAGGCTTCTTCGAAGTAGAGCATAAATTATGAACAGGTGTTTTCTGACAGTCAGTGTATAATAAAGGGATACATCGAACATCACTCGCTCATATCCATATATTGCTTGTTACCTTCTCTTGACCAATATGCTTCTGACATCAATTCCTCCTTTTTTTTCCTTCAGAAATGTCCAGTCGATTACTCATTGTCATTCTGATGAGGCCATATTCAAGGAACGCATTTGTGTTCATTATGTTAATCGACCGCCTCCGTGGTGTAGTGGTTAGAACGTCCGCCAGGAGAGCGGAAGGTCGCGGGTTCGATCCCCGACCGCGTCATACCAAAAGACGTAACGGTACTTGTTGGTCCCTGCTGGCGCTCGGCATTAATGGGTACAACAAGGACTGGTCGGTATGGTACCTCAGTTGGCTAGCACCATAAAACCAGTTTCAGTCTAGGCTAGTACAAGCAGCCACACATACACACGCATGCATGTCGTCATATGAGCGAAATATTCTCCAGCACGACGTTAAACCCAATTTCACCTCACCTCATTATGTTAATCGGGTGATGAGAAAAGTAGTTAACTGGATGATTCCTGGATTGTCTTCAATGTGATTTTTCCAAAAACATTAATAGAAGGACTGTTTGAGCTTGATCATCAGCTACGACTAGCTCCTGATGTTCGGTTTCAGCAGACTTCCAATGTTTACACCAAAAGAAACACGGATTGTGTGTTTACGGTATGCTGGGACGGTCAACACGTCCCAAAACCTCAAAAACACATTATTTTATTAAATATGTCAATCTTTCCACGATCCAACATTAACCATAACCCTCCTGATCGGCAAAATGCCTAGACCAGGAGTGTCCATGTACAGATATCGATCTTATTTGGGTGAGCGTGATCGGTGTATGTTGTAGAGGTATGTGTTTAGGGGATGTCTGTTGATACAGGTCCGGTGTGTTCCAAATTGTCATTCAAACATTGAAAGCTGTTGTTCTACAATTCTATATGACGAATATTACATTGGGGCATATTTATTATGGGTAGATAATTGCTACATTACCGTAATATTGTATGGTTGTACTATAGTATCCAAACTGAATACCTTGTATACTGGTCATTGGCGGGTCAACATTCATTTCAAAGTACAAATGAATCTAAAACCAATGGCCAATCTCTTAGCGATCAGCGGGAAAAAATACGTTTGACATTATATTGTATGAGATTCAGTAACTGCACGCCAGGTATGTGATTACGAGATAATTGATCAATCACAAGTTGAATAATTTATTGACGTGACAGGTCTAAGAACCCTTGTAATTATATCATTAGTTATCAACGTCGCACAACAAAATCCAGTAATGATGTCAATATAGTATTCTCCGACAGATATTAATATCAACAATTTTTAAAAGCAGTATTCCAGCAAGTTAGTAAATCACGGTAATAAACAAAAGGGAGATAACTCGATATCAGAACGTCTTTGTCGCCTGTCACAGTTATGTGACAACATGATCAAATATTTCGCTTCTTTTCCCCAAGTTAGCTCAAATGGACACACACAACAGCTGCTGTTCACATGTGACCTTCTGACATTATTGTCGTAGTGCAAGTTACACAAGTTTCAATTTATACCGACCTACCTGTCTCGATATCACAATCTTATCACCATGATGACATTCGATCCGATAGCAACGCGTCGTTGACAACCAGCAAAGTCTACTACGCATGCGCGCGGGCGTCGCATAACAATCGTATCCTGATGCATGGAAAGAACAGCTTTGTTCCCAAACCAACCGGAGCTTTTTCAAACATAATTAACGTGAAGATTTAACCAATTCTACCTTACAAGGGCATCAGGATATTAATTCGTGTGTTTCCCATAGTGAAAAATATTTTCATTTGGTAAACATTGGCGGATCCAAGGGGGGTTCAGTGGGTTCGAACCCCGCCCCTTCTGAAAATGACTGAAGATCACATTGCATTGAAGTTAATGTTTTGCATTGGAAGATTCCTGGATGCGCCTATGTATAAAATAACCATTTTTAAATACAACATTTCACTGTAGAGCATTCCTTTTGGTGAGTGAATGAGTGAGTGTGATTTTACGCCGCTCTTTACAGCATGGGTTCGGCGGGGGACATTTTATTTGCCAACGTCTACATCCGTAGAGTTAAAGTTGCGGTTACAGTTTTGTCAAAGGAGAACAGGCTAACAAGGAATAACCAAACACTTGATGTATACATTGTCTAATCTTCACCATCCTTATAAACGATAGCGACTGTTACTTTATATCTGGTTGCGATTGTCGTTGCGATTGCGAAATCGTTTATTACAAAGCAGCACAGAGATAAGGTTCACGCAATTAACAATTGTTGATGTGTTTTTGTATTGTTAGAATGTGTTTATTTATACAATTTGTTCTTTTTTTCATGATTTACAATAATTGTTTGATGACTATTTAGGTTAAGTGTTGGAAAGTAGAAATTAAACGGCAGAATTTTAAAAGATCCTGTTCTTATTTTATGTGTTTGGAGAATGATTATATTAAAAGATCAACTATGCATTTGATCACAGACATTAAAAAAAACAATCTTACTTGGTTCCCTGTCGGAGAGGTGGGGTAGCCTAGTAGTTAAAGCGTAAGCTCGCAACGCCGAGGACCCGAGTTCGAGTCCCCACATGGGTACGGTGTGTGAAGCCCATCTTGGGTGTCCCCCGCCGTGATATTGCTGCAATATTGCTATTTTTGAAAGGCGACGTAACTAACTCACTACTTCCCTTTTTTTGTTCGTTTTTTAAGGTGTAGAAAAAGGGACCAGCAAGAAAACTGAAAATGATATTTTACAAAATCCTTGATATATTTTCCTTAATTGTTCTTTTTTACATTCTGTTTAATTCTCATTCTATTTTACGTCCGGGGGTCGTTTAGAATTGTGAAATTAAAGTTTATTAAGCGACTCTTTGAAATATTGACAGATTCTCAAAACTCGTGCGTTCAAAACATGTACAATTAAAAAAAAATGTTTATTGTGAATGACTGGTCGAAAGCAGAAAAAAGAAGGATGTATCAAAACGCAAGCAAACCATCAGACTTCAATTTGACATGAAACCCAAAACAATATCCCAACCCACGTCTTCGGGCCGTCGTGGTAATATTGAACGGTGCGATAGTAAAATCCTTCCATTAAAACTACTTCGCGTTTAGTATTTTTGTCTGCAGAGTTCAAACAAACTGTTTCATGTCGACGTCTGGTCAAACACATTTTTAAAATTGAAACGGAGAAGACGAGACACCTTTTTTTCGTGCTTAATTCCATGTTGTATGTGATTCTAATGGTTGTCCAGCAGGATGCCGAACTGGGCTATGTTCTCTTTCCGCTAAAGAAAATGGAGTTGTCTCCCTTACACCAATGTTTATCTAAACAAATTTTGTACCTTAGGGACTGTTCATAAGTTATGGCAAAAGGTGGGGGTTGGGGGTGTTATCAATTTTGTACACACGTACTGGGTGGGGGCAGCAATTTTGTGCAGAAAAATATGTTTCAAATTATGCTTAAAAATTAGGGGGCACTTATTTTGTATATAAATTTTAGGGGGAATCATTCACATTGTACATGCTCCTCCATAAAAATCATCATCTCCTTCGAAACACTTCATATGCCTGTATCCTGTTGAGTTTGGACTGGTGTTTCTTTCCAAAATTGAAGAAGACACTTAAACTTGTATTGTAACACCGTGCATGGGGAAAATGATCACAGTTCATGGTATTAGGTATCGTAGGTTTGATATTCCTCGCGTCCCCAGGGTCGGAAGTTAACGGACGGAAGGACTATGGAGTGAAGCGAGTCTCCATGTCGTCTTTGTATAAACTCCCTATTTGGATCATCGGTCCAAGTGAAACGATAGAAACGGTTTATTTTGCACACTCGACATTTCATCTGGACAGCTCAGAGAGCAGTGCAAGTGTGTACAGACGGCGAGGTGGACGGTATGCTGACACGTGCGTTGTTCAACGTCGACAGTGTGGTGTCGTTAGCGTTATGGTATGGGGAGCCATCACATCTCATGCTCTGACACAACTTGACATTGTCAATGGCAACCTGACAGGTCTGAGATACACGGATGAGATCATTGGGCCTCATGTGTTCGTTCAAGGACAGAGACGTAACTTCACACTTCAGCAAGATAATGCCGTCGCTCGTGTTGTTACATATCTCCTGAGACAGCAGAACAGTCTGGTACTTCCCTGGCCAGTTGTTTCTCCAGACCTGTCCCCTATCGAAGGATGAAATGGAGTGACGTTTACGTCAAGCCCAGAATCGGCCATTAACGTTAGCTGAATTGAGACAAGCATTGGTTCTTAGATGGAACAACATTCCCCAAGCTTTCTTCAATCGCTTAGTGTCGTCTATGCATCGTCGTTGTCAAGCCTGCATCAACGCCAATGGTGTATATATAGAGGATATTATATGAGTGCCCTTGTCATACTATGTTTGCGACACGAATGTCTAAATGTTGGTATTTCCCGAGCGAGAGCGAGTGTCGTAAACATAGTATGATATGGGCACGAATATAATATTCTGTTTGTTACCGAAGTCGTCAAATTGAGGAAAATAAACCCAAACCTACTTTCAAACATAGGCTGGCTACCCGCCGTCGCCGTGCCTAAATATCAGACACTCGTGCCTAAATATCAGTATATCCCTTGCTCTCGCTCGGGAAATACCAACATTTAGACACTCGTGTCGTAAACATAGCATGGTATGGGCACGAATATAATATTCTGTTATTACATCAAATAATACACAGTTACCTTCTTCCACTAGTATATTTATTTTCCTTATTAGCGTGAATCTGATGTGGGTTAACACAAATACAAATATCGACCTTTGAGCAAGAGTATGACAAACTCGTTTTGGCATGACAGTGATAACCAGCACAAAATGTTTACAGTAGGTATCTTCGAGCACATAAAACACATTTCCCTGCAAACGAAACATACTCTGTCTATTTTGGCACACTACCAGAAGTATAAATGAGTACAGAATAATTTTATTTTATTTCAAAAGTCACACTAATATTTTTCATGAATGACCAAACTTTCAAAAGCGATTATCTCGAAAGTAGGTTTGTGTGGTTTATCACTGCACTATCTTCTCCCGACCCATTCAGTTATACTCAGGGAAAATCAGAGACCCTATATACCGGTTATATGGGGCAAATGTATCTTTAAAACTACGTATTGTTAATATTTTAAAGATTTTTTCCGTTGCAAGTTTAGGTAACGGGTTTGATACCCAAACTACGACATTTCATGTTGATAATATCGTGAGGTGTAGAAATCACACTGTCACGACTATATGTCACCATCCCAGGCGTCATATGAGGCACATAGATCTATAAGAGGGAAAGAGGGGCCTAAAGACTGACAGGCCTCTATCGTAAATGTAAGCGACATCAGTGACGCCCCAGACTTATTGCCTGTAAACATCAAGTTCAGGGATGGTGTAATATTTAAAACTATAGTTTTAGTTTGTAACTAACAGATAAACATATGACGGTTATCAGCGTTTGTCTGTAACATCATTTTGGGAAACAGTATCGTGCTCGAAGAAACGACCTTGACCTGCTCCGGAAGTTGTGGAATTTACAAAATGGCTGCTTCTCCAAACACTTCTGCGGCAACACTCACGCCAAAGAAGAAAGATGAATCATTCCTGGATAAAATAGGAACATTAGCTAGAAAGAAGAAAGCGAAAGAAGGTTTGCAATTGTGAATGTATTTATTTTGTTGTTTTCCAATGTTTTGATGCGGTATTTGTGTAGCTCTTTATTCAACCTCGCCCAAAAATGTCCCGGGTCGAGCGTAAATATCCATAAAAGGGCATTTCGCTGTGTTAGCGATTGGGTTAGAATATTTTTTAATGTCTTTATTATATTTACATGTTCGTGGTTATTGTGTGTGAATTAAGTAAAGTTATATTGATGTAGCGGCCTTCTTGCACGCATGACTCACGATGACAGCACTGAACAGTCATCATACCAAGTAAACAGATTTGTGGTGCCAGTCCTGAATACCTTAGACCACATCAATTCAGGCATCACAGAACCTTTCGAACTTTGTATTTCCCCATAAACCATGGTTGATGGTACAAGAGCAATGCATTACATAATTAACAATTAATATTGACTGTAAGACAGCTATAATTTCATTCATATTGTTTTCGAGCATATATATGACACCAAAGAAGATCATTAGAATACTGGGGTGGATGGCACAAGTGGTCCTTGTCATCACTTAACCTTTCTTGCCACATCAGCAGGTTTTCAGCATAGAGAATCATGGTAACAGGGTATACTAATAAATATAAGACGCTGTCAGATGAGGATTGTAAAATGGTTCACATGGTATCACCTGTAATTAGAGGTATCCAGATCGGTACATAGAATTTCAATAATTATGTATATCTCAGTAACAATGTATAAATATACCTCAATAATATTGTGTAAATATGGATAATACATCTTACATAATGTAAATTAGGTCTATATGCTAGTGGGTGAAATGCAGTTGTGTGAGCTGTCAAGAATGCTTTTATTAATTACATTGTCACAATATTTTGTTGTATGTAGAGTACAAAAACAGTAGATGTGCAGTTTGGAAAGTATGACTATTCAACACAATAACAATTTTATCAAATGACATGATTCCGATTATTATTACTCTGGTAACATGGCACCAAGAACAAGCTTACTGGAAAACATACTTTTGCCCATATTTCTTCATATTATATATGAGTTTATGCTCAGTGCGTGTGTGGAGTTGTATTGTTTACAAACTACAAATGATTACAAATATTTGAGTAAGAATCACACATGTAGTAAATTTGAATCTATGGTCTGTATTTACAATACCTGTGTATAGGTATGCAATAGTCCCGTTTCAAGTCACTTTCAATGAACCAAACCATACCTTCCTGATTTCAATTAATTGATTATGGGCACTAAAATAGACTATTTACGAATATGTTTAAGAGAGTGTTTTTGATTGGTAATAGTTTGTTGTTTATCCAAGTGGGATGCGCAAAATGGAATATATCCAAGCCATGCATGTTATTTTGTAGTAGGCCCCTTACGGCACTGTCATTAGGCTATAAGCGGCATTGTTTGCAAGGTGTTGCTTTTTTTGTTTTATCGAAAGTATCATTTATATGTTTCAACTTCAGCAATTACAGGACATGTTTGTTATTTTAATTACTATATATTAAACATAAAGTATTCATGAATAAATATTTGTATTCATTACTATGTATTCATAAAACATCATATTCGCATCATTATGTATTTGTTGCAGCCTTAGTAAATAACTTTGATCATATGTTCCTTTTAATATTACATGAAGTTTATCTATCTTGATTTAACTTAAATATTTTTCAAAGCAATGTTTTTCTGAACTAGTTCACTGTGATGCAAACTGTCATGATGCTGTTACAAACACATGTATCAATATGGTTTTGATAACCTGGAGAGCCTTGTAAACCTCTCTTATCATATAACAGCCTTGACTGACTAATGTATATTTTTAAAAATCATACCCGTGAAGGTCCGGGTTAGAATATTGATCTTCAGTAACCCTTGCTTGTCGTAAGAGACGACTAACGGGATCGGGTAGTCAGGCTCACTGACTTGGTTGACACATGTCATCAGTTCCCAATAGTGCAGATCGATGCTCATGCTGTTGATCACTGGATTGTCTGGTCCAGATTCGATTATTTACAGACTGCCGCCATATAGCTGGACTCCCTCACTTTAAAAAATGCTTTTTTATTCTTTGACCTAATGATATCATTTTTTAGTGACTGAGCTTCAAGAGGAGGGGAAAAATGCCATTGAATCTCCAACCAGCCCATCTGTCCCAGACATTGGACCAGAAGGGTATCTTCTTGGTAAGTAAGTAAGGAAAAGAAGCATCTTTCACACTTGATAGATGTCTTCACCTTTTGTGTTGGAGCTGCTGGTGTATTTTTTCTGGGTAGTTACAATGTGTGACATGATGGGTCATCTTGACCTATCACATGGCTTGGTATCAGCCACCTGTTTGTATGGACCACTGGTATTGCTGTTGTGATATGAATGTTACAAGGTACAGTAAGAACATTCGAAATCTATTACTGTTCCCCTAATACAGTAATAGCATATATGACTCAATTACATCTCATTTTGTTAATGACCATGATTCAGTAAATATTTCAAAGAAAACCAGACATTTGCTGTGTGCATGGTATAAAGCCCTACTATGTCAGTGGATGTTGAAAACTGATTTAATTTAGAATAAATTTCCAACAATTGATTAACTTTCATTTTTATAATTTACCCTTTACAAATGTGAATAGCTATGAGATATGGTCCTTCTTTTAAGCATTTAAAATACAGTAACCATCAATATATCATGATACATGTATATTGTAGTCATGTTTAATGGCAGTAGCTATCTTGTTCTAACACTCATGTACAAATAATATGACCATAAACAATAAATGGATCTACTTACAAGAAAACAGTTAACGAAACATTGTATCCATGTGATGAAAACTTCCATAATCTCTGAAAGAGTGTTTGCATCTTAGCATGCTTTTGTGAATCTTGTGTATCTTGGGTAACTTTTTGACAGGTGAGAAGGAAGAAAGATCCATGATCGAGCCAGGATCCCGAGATGATGCCAAGTTGAATCAGCTGATCAAGGTGAGTCCATGGAGTCATCTCTGTAACTTTTAAGTCTATCCAGGATAACTTCATAGCAGTATGCATAATGCTCTTAGAATTTAGAACTGACACTGAAGAAGTGATGAAGTGAAACATACTAAATGTGTGCCTGTGTGCAATGTGATTAGTAGATATTTACAGGTGGGACAATGATTTTTCATGGGTATGGCTTTTTTTTAACATCATGTTGATAATATCTGAATTTTATGAATAGATTCAGATGTGTGCCTTGAGAATTGAGACCTGGGTAGACAAACAATGGTACGAAGAATAGTAAGATGTAGAAAGGTGTTGTACTATAGCATCTGTGATGTAAGTCCTGTGCTTTTCAGGTGCTGCTTGACTGGATAAATGATGAGCTTGCAGATCACCGTATCATTGTAAAGGATATTGAGGAAGACTTGTTTGATGGCCAGATTCTTCAAAAACTCATTGGTAACGTATTAACATCATTGCTTGATTCAAGTAAATACAACAACCTGTGATAATGAGTCATGAATTCAAAATGAAACTCATTGAAACTAATATCTGATGCATATTTTGTACATGTAATTAGTTTTTTGGTGCAAGTTGGTCGTTTAGTGTTTAAATCTTTTTGCTATTAATAAAAAAGTTCAAATCAATACAGATATTTTCACAAATCATTCATATGATATACCTGTAGATATGTGTGGGCAGTGATATATAGGGGCATTGATGGTTCTTCAGAAAATATGTGTAGGATCAGGGGTTATTCCGGTATATTATACTGTGTGGCAGTAAGTATTTGGGGTTGGCCTGGTGGATCATACTTGGTGGCATCTCCCAGAAGTTCTGGAGAATCTAGGGTGGTGCTGGCAGTTGAGCAGGATCTGGGGTTGTATTTAGTGTGAGCAGGATCTGAGGGTGTGTATCTGAGTTGTTGTTGTGTAGGATCTGGAGTTGTACCTGTTGTGTAGGATCTAGAGTTGTACCTGTTGTGTAGGATCTAGAGTTGTAGTGTGATCTGGAGTTGTACCTGTTGTGTAGGATCTGGAGTTGTACCTGTTGTGTGGGATCTGGAGTTGTGTAGGATCCTGTACCCCTATTATGTAGGATCTGTGAGGATCTGGTGTGGGATGTACCTGTACCTGTGTAGGATCTGGAGTTGTACCTGTTGTGTAGGATCTGGAGTTGTACCTGTTGTGTAGGATCTGGAGTTGTACCTGTTGTGTAGGATCTGGAGTTGTACCTGTTGTGTGATCCAGGGTGGATCTAGGGAGTTGTACCTGTTGTGTGTGGAGGATCTGTGTAGGATCTGGAGTTGTACCTGTTGTGGGATGTGTAGGATCTGGAGTTGTACCTGTTGTGTAGGATCTGGAGTTGTACCTGTTGTGTAGGATCTGGAGTTGTACCTGTTGTAGGATCTGGAGTTGTAGGATGGATCTGGAGTTGTAGTTGTGTACCTGTTGTGTAGGATCTAGAGTTGTACCTGTTGTGTAGGATCTGGAGTTGTACCTGTTGTATCTATGTATTGTGTAGGATCTTGAGTTGTACCTGTTGTGTAGGATCTGGAGTTGTACCTGTTGTGTAGGATCTGGAGTTGTACCTGTTGTGTAGGATCTAGAGTTGTACCTGTTGTGTAGGATCTAGAGTTGTACCTGTTGTGTAGGATCTAGGGTTGTACCTGTTGTGTAGGATCCAGGGTGTACCTGTTGTTGTGTAGGATCCTGTTGTGGAGTTGTTGTACCTGTTGTGTAGGATCTGGAGTTGTACCTGTTGTGTAGGATCTAGAGTTGTGGATGCTGGTTGTACCTGTTGTGTAGGATCAGGGTGGTACTGGTAGTTGTGTAGGATCTAGGGTTGTACCTGTTGTGTAGGATCTAGGGTGGTGCTGGTAGTTGTGTAGGATCTAGGGTTGTACCTGTTGTGTAGGATCCAGGGTGGTGCTGGTAGTTGTGTAGGATCTAGGGTTGTACCTAGTTGTGCTGGTAGGGTGGTGTGTAGTTGTGTAGGATCCTAGGGTGGTGCTAGGTAGTTGTGTAGGATCCAGGGTTGTACCTGCTGTGTAGGATCTGGAGGTGGTGCTACCTGTTGTGTAGGATCTAGGGTTGTACCTGTTGTGTAGGATCCAGGGTGGTGCTGGTAGTTGTGTAGGATCCAGGGGGTTGTACCTGTTGTGTGTAGGATCCAGGGTGGGTGGTAGCTGCTGGTAGTTGTGTAGGATCCAGGGTGGTGCTGGTGTTACCTGTTGTGTGTAGGATCAGGGTGGTGCTGGTAGTGTGTGTGTAGGATCTAGGGGTTGCTGGTAGTTGTGTAGGATCCAGGGTGGTACTGGTAGTTGTGTAGGATCTAGGGTGGTGCTGGTAGCTGTGTAGGATCCAGGGTTGTACCTGGTAGGATCCAGTAGTGCAGTAGCTGTGTGATCTAGGGTAGTTGTGTGTAGGATCTAGGGTGAGTGCTGGTAGGTAGGGTTGTACCTGTGTAGGATCCAGGGTGGTGCTGGTAGTTGTGTAGGATCCAGGGTAGTTGTGTAGGATCCAGGTGCTGGTAGTTGTGTAGGATCCAGGGTAGTTGTGCTGGTAGCTGTGTAGGATCTAGGGTTGTACCTGTTGTGTAGGATCTAGGTAGGTACCTGTTGTGTAGGATCCAGGGTGGTGCTGGTAGTTGTGTAGGATCCAGGGTGATGCTGGTAGTTGTGTAGGATCCAGGGTGGTGCTGGTAGTTGTGTAGGATCTAGGGTGGTGCTGGTAGCTGTGTAGGATCTAGGGTTGTACCTGTTGTGTAGGATCTAGGGTTGTACCTGTTGTGTAGGATCCAGGGTGATGTTGGTAGTTGTGTAGGATCCAGGGTGGTGCTGGTAGTTGTGTAGGATCCAGGGTGGTGCTGGTAGTTGTGTAGAATAAGGTTTTGTGCTTGTAGTTGTGTAGTGTACAGGGTATTGCTGGTGTATCATGCAGGGTGATATCTTTCAGAGAAGTTGTGCAGAATCCGTGTAGAGGCTCCTGAAGTGACACAGTCAGAGATTGGACAGAAGCAGAAGCTGAGAGTCGTCCTGGACTACATTACCTCCATCCTCAACCTACCACAGGGTTGGAACCAGCTGAAGTGGAGCGTCGACAGTAAGCACACATAGACTGTCTTACATCTTGGGGGCTGGGTTAGGGGTGGACACGTACACAGTCTGCAGTACCAAGTCAAGTGCTTGATCTTACTTAATTCAATAACTATGACAAGTCAAATGAGTACAGCATCCTATAAAATCCCCCAAGCATGATGGTTATTGCCAGTTGATTTCTCAAATCATCAATACTTTTTATGGTGTTAAAAAAAATATGTTCAGGAGTTCATTAGCTGCCAGAATTGATGACACGCAGAATGAAATAAGAACAAATGATGATGTTCCAAAAATATAGGAAGCATGTATAATATTTTTGACTGTTTAATTGTTCAGGTATCCACTCCAAGAACCTGGTAGCCATCCTCCATCTACTGGTAGCGTTAGCCAAGCACTTCAAGGCCCCGATCAGGCTGCCCGACAATGTCTCTGTCATCCTCGTCATTGTGCAGGTCAGTTTCATGTACAGGTCGGGATACTGAGACCCTGTCATGTACAGGACGTAACACGTTTTCATGCACTGTACTCCACTGCGGGAATCATTGTTAATCTCCGTCACAGCAAATTCCACTAATCGTCTGTCAACCAAGACCAACATCATCCAGCCTATATTAAAGAGTTCTTTTCCTTGGGGTAGCCTAATGGTTAAAGCGTTTGCTTGTCATGCTGGAGACCCCAAGTTCGATTACCCACATGGGTACAATCTGTGAAGCCCATTTCTGGTGTCCCCTGCTTTTTGGAATATTGCTAAAAGTGACCTAAAACCATACTCACTCACACTGGGCATTACACTTACATTACATATTCCACCAATTTCTGTTCCTACATAGTTCCTACAGAAAACAAGAATAACTAATTAGAGACTGATTGTTTTAAGGATGCGGATCATTACTGGGCTGGTCAAGTTTACCTGTCCCTGAGGTTTAATGATCATTTGCTCATGAGGATTTCGTAAAATGGGGAGTACTGTGAGTCCCAATGGTCTGTTGTATGGTGATCTACCTTCGGCTGCTGGCCCATTTTTATATTGTATTATGTATAGAAATATATTTTTATGATTACATGCTAGTTTTAAGTGTAAAACTGTGATAGTCAAGTGTTTTAACTGTCCCTTGTTGACAGGTATTTATAGCATCTAATGTATAGCTTTCATAGTCAGGGTATGGCTGAAATACTGCTGATGTGGCTTTAAATTTTAACTCACTCACTCACTCACTCAATTTTGCGAACTGAGAAGGCCAACTACAGTAGAATTATTATACTGCTAAACATCACTTAACTCACATATTAATGTGTATTACTTGGTTGTGTATGGCGGAATTATCGTCCTTACACACCTAAAGATTCCAGTGTTCACGAATAGCGTCTGGCCCTCTGACAAATCCGGCAGATTCGCTAACGATCCGATAGAAGTCTACAACCCGCCGGCCCCAGTTTCTGGCTTTATATTTCACAAGGACTTTGACTGAAGTTGTTATATGTGACACTTGTTTGCTGTTTATAAATCTTATGTTTGTTAATAATTTCAATGCCAATTATAAGAAAAGTTAAATCTGAAATGTGTGTTTAATTTTATTCTGTGGGTCCTGTGAATTTTCAATGGGTCAAACAGACATTTGAAACTTACTGGACCCAATGTCCTGTGACTTTGAAACACCCTTCGTGAACACTGATATTCCATCATGTAACAGTGATCATAGCTTACAGGTTGCAGGAAATGCCCTTTATTTGCTTACTGTGACTGTAGACAAGAAATTCAGTTTTGTGAGGGCGAGACATTGAGAGGAAGCTCACATATTACACTTTGTCAGTAGTAGCAATTGCAGTAGTTGGATTCAGGATGACAGTCGGTTGTTGTATAGAGGGTGGGGTAGTCTAGTGGTCAAAGCGTTGGCTCGTCACGCCACATGGGTACAATGAGTGAAGCCCGTTTCTGGTGTCCCCTGCCATGATATTGCTGGAATATTGCTAAAAGCGGTGTAAAACCAAACTCAGTCAGGCAGTATAGAGGGTTATCTCCCTTCAACTATCAGCACCTCACCAGATAAATGTAAGTTTACCATTAACATTTCAGTTAGTTTAGATTTTGGTTTTACTCGACCCTCAGCATTTCCAGCTGTATAACAGATGTTCTGCCAATTATCAAGTGTTGACCAGATAATCCAGTGATTGACACAATTAGCATTGTAATGGAACTTTTAGGCCAGTGTGTAAAGATGTCAGAAGACTTATATGATAGGATAAGTGGAATGGTAATGGAACATTAATAATGGCAATAAGAACTTGAGCAGTTATTTACAAATGCCAGCTGATTATCTGGTGTATACAATATTTGTCTATGTACAATAAAACCTCTGATTCAAGTTTGAAAGAAACTAATTTGTTTTGAAATTAAGGAAATTCATTTTATTTGTACATTGTATATTGGTTTGCTTGGCTCATTCCTTCCACAATATACACAAGAAGATCCGGGTTAGAATTGGTCTTCAGTAACCCATGCTTGTCGTAAATGGCGACTAATGGGATCGGGTGGTCAGGCTCGCTGAATTGGTTGACACATGTCATTGTATCCCAATTGTATAGATAGATGCTCATGCTGTTGATCACTGGTTTGTCTGGTCCAGACTCGATTATTTACAGAGTGTTGCCATATAGCTGGAATATTGAAGAGTGCGGCGTTAAACAACAAACCAACCCAATCATTCCACAATACAAATCACAATGTCATTGCCAGTATATTGGGTGATTTCAAATAGTGATTTATGTCATGTGTTTCATGTTATACACTTGCCAAGCACCTTTGGAAATGTTTCTGCTATTCCAAAAAGACAGCAAATATAAAAGGTTAATTCTCAGTTACCTCCTTTAACACATTCCTACACGTCTATCAACAAGATCTTGATCTCAAAGATGGTCGTGATCATCAGCCTTTTGTTTTGTTCTATTTGTGAACCTCAATTTATGTTATGATATTTCTGATTGCTTCTGAATTCAAAATCTGTAATTGTACAATGTATTGTAATATACTACTCAAAAAGAAGTGAAGTAGCCTAGGTCGGGTTTGATTCCCCACAAGGTGAAGATTTCAGCATGACTAAAAGCGTAAAATCAAAACTCACTCACTCACTCAAAAGAAGTTACTGGTCAAAGGTAGCGACAAGCAAATGCTAAGCATGACTGGAGCGTCGTCAGTGGGCGTGTACTCTTTACGGATGAGTCCAGGTTTGCGTTGCAGTTGAACAGCGGCAGAGTTCTACTGGCGGCCAGGTGAAAGGTTTGGTGATGTGAGGGGTGGTATTTCCAGACCACAGGACTCCACTGTTTGAGCGGTGGTTCGGTGATTTTGTCCGTTTGTTGTTCATACTCCACCACAAGACTTCTCAGTATGATTGGTCAGGCCAGACTTGTGGAAAGATCTTGACTGGTATCAGAATGGAGGGGTGAAATTGATAGAGCATGCTTGGGACGAGTTGGGAAGGAGGGTGAGGTACAATCATAATCGACCTGGTCATCTTCAATAATTGGTCCAGTTTCTTCAGGCAGAGTGTCAGGTTATCCCACAGATGTTTTTTGTGGTCTGATTGACAGTATGCCATAACGATGTGCTGCATGTTTAGGAGCACTTGGTGGTTTTACCCGTTATTGACATACACATTACTTCCGGAATGAAAGAATTTCAAAGGATGCTTACAGTCATTGAGTTTGCATAGGGCATATGATTTGCACACAGTGCTTAGCTTTAGGACAGCATAAACCAATTCGAACCATATTCATGCTTGGAATTTCTGTTTTATATGTTTGCTATGTATAATTAAATGTCATGCCAAAATCTACCTTTGACCCTTAACTTCTTTTGAGCAGTATATGTATTGCAGTAGAGCCTTGTGTATCAGCATACAGTGTGGCACACTCTGAACCTCCAATACCAATCCCTACTGTTCAGGTTTACATATTGTTGTTACAGAAAATAGACAACCAGTTGCAGACAAGGAGGGTTTACGAAGAAATCACAGGAGCGAATGAGTAAGTGCTGGGAGGAAGTTCATACAGTTTAGTGCCCTTAGAATTAGGATGATCAGTTTTCCACACTGTATGGTTAATCACCAACTGAATAAGCATAATAACACACGTAGTGAATTTCAGTGCATAGAGTAACAGCTCACTTTATGTTTACATTCAAGTAATACCAGTAAGTTTGGCAATAGTTTGATTAAGAAAATCCATGTATCTATTTCAAACAGAGGATAGGGTGGTGATATTATGTGTCCTTTGTTGATTGTGTCACAGTACCCTGACAGCGTGGTAGTGCAGTTAGACTGAGGTTACCATCCCCAGACTATTGTGTAGAGGTTGCAGTGATTTGGCTCAAATTGTGTTGACACTGGCAAAAAACAGTACTCACTCTTTGAGTTTTTTCCTATGGTCTGACATACACACCATGCTGTGTAGAGTTATGTCCCCTTGCTACAAGCTTTCAGAGGGTCATTAAACTCACTCACTCACATGAGACATGACAACAGTAAGATGGCATAGTGAAAGATTCTGCTTTAGGGTGTATTTGTTCCTTTATTCCACATGCCTGTTTATAAAGATCAGTGGGATGTTTAGGTAACCGGATCATTGTATGGTGTAACTGCTGAAAGCCATGTTAAAACCAACTTGTTGAATTTACACATTTTTTGTACTTTTCAGTGAAATTGGGGCCAAATTTGGTAAGTCATCTTGCATATATTTGCATATGTGTAAGACATTTTATACCTTATCAACAACTTCAGATAGTGATGGGCCAACAATTGTTGAATCTGAAAACCTTATGTTAAAAAGCACTTTCATTTTATTTCCTTCCTCTAACTTCATCGGGCATAAGCTCTCCTAAAATATGACATGATTCTTGGGTGGAACAGGTCCCCAATACCCCACGTTTGTTGATGGGACAACAATGAGGTACATCGTACCCTGATGTTGCTGAGTGTTGTCAGGCTATCAATCACTGGCTTCCATGCCACCAGTTGATTATTTACAGGCTATAGTGGATACAGATGTTGTATTGCCAACATGGGTACAGTGAAGCCCCGTTAGTCTGGACTCCGATAATCCGGATGTCTCGCCTCCCGGATGATTTCAGCTTGTTACCAATCTATGCCTATATAATTTGCCCCGATAATCCGGAAATTCGGTTTCCGGAACCGGACGGTAAGTAGCTGTCACCAATCAGTAAAATAAACAGTAAATTGCTTCACAGTCCGGACGCTGTAAGTCGTGTTCACGAACAGTAACAACACCACCCGGCGATGTTTACTTAATTAACTGGCCAACTGGGTTGTTGTTTTAATTAAACATTAAAAGCTCCCGACTGAAGATGCTGTACATTTACGCTTTGATTGACACCACAATACAAAGGCGTGGATGACAAGTGAGCTGTTTTGTGATTGGTTAATGTACTTTGACAGACAGATGCGGTCGCGTGGACTTAAAGTGATTTTGCTTTTACGACAATGCTGCAAGTCACAAGTGTGCTTCGCTAACTTTGCGAAATGTGACCAAATACCACGTCTCATATACAACCCGATGGATGTAGGAATAATTAAGACATTCAAGGCATACTACAATAGATAAGCTTGTTAGACATTACCTCACCTGTGCTGAGGAAGGACGTGATTAGACACGTCGGATCAACATGCGGATGTCACTCGGTAAAATTATTGATGTGATGAATTAAGCTTTACATTAAATGCTTATTTGTTTTATCCAGATTCGTGTCGTTTTTGTAATAGTTAGGGAAGCAACTTGGGTCTTGATTCAGTAGTCCGGACTATTCGCAATCCGGACGAATTTACTGAGAAACGCAACCGTCCGGATTAACGAGGCTTCACTGTATATGGCATTTCACACACTACAACTGCTACACTAGTCTATCATATAGATCTCAGGGCTACAGATAAGCAGGCGGCGTACAGGCGAAGTAATGTACGCCTTAAAATCAATTAAGTACGACATAATATAAGATTTCAAGCGGATCTTGTACGCACATAAATACCTTTGTACGTCTAGCATTTAATTTCCGTGCATATCATGCAAATGGAAATCTATTTTGGATAAATACTTGTTGTTAAGTTTCTTTTGCGAAACACGATTTGACACATAAGGAAACCCCGACAGTAGGAATCCCTTGCGTTGCCATGCAACGATATGTGTCACTATTTTTCAATTGGCTAAAAATTACACTGTTCCTATTTATATCCAGTCGGACCTGACATTTCGCGCATCACACAGTCGCTCAGTTATTTCTCACGCGTCTTCAAATACAAATACATGGGGGCGGTGGGGTAACCTAGTGGTTAAAGCGTTGGCTCATCACGCCGAAGACCCGGGTTCGATTCCCCACATGGGCACAATGTGTTAAGCCCATTTCTGGTGTCCCCCGCCTTGATATTGCTGGAATATTGCTAAAAGCGGCGTAAAACTAAACTCAGTCAGTCAGTACAAATACATGGTTGGAAATAGTGATCGATGAATCATCCAGACAAATCACATCACCTCGCTCACACAAAAACATGTCAGTACTCCTTCAAAATTCTCAGTACACCTCCACTTGCAATATGATGTGTAAGTACACTCACACCCCCAAAAGTTATCTGGAGCCCTGGATCTAATGGAAATCTATTTTGGATAAATACTTGTTGTTAAGTTTCTTTTGCGAAACACGATTTGACACATAAGGAAACCCCGACAGTAGGAATCCCTTGCGTTGCCATGCAACGATATGTGTCACTATTTTTCAATTGGCTAAAAATTACACTGTTCCTATTTATATCCAGTCGGACCTGACATTTCGCGCATCACACAGTCGCTCAGTTATTTCTCACGCGTCTTCAAATACAAATACATGGGGGCTGTGGGGTAACCTAGTGGTTAAAGCGTTGGCTCATCACGCCGAAGACCCGGGTTCGATTCCCCACATGGGCACAATGTGTTAAGCCCATTTCTGGTGTCCCCCGCCTTGATATTGCTGGAATATTGCTAAAAGCGGCGTAAAACTAAACTCAGTCAGTCAGTACAAATACATGGTTGGAAATAGTGATCGATGAATCATCCAGACAAATCACATCACCTCGCTCACACAAAAACATGTCAGTACTCCTTCAAAATTCTCAGTACACCTCCACTTGCAATATGATGTGTAAGTACACTCACACCCCCAAAAGTTATCTGGAGCCCTGGATCTGAAACAAATATATTCAAAGAAGCTCATGCAAGTCTAGAATCTAGAATATGTGGCAAGTCTAGATTAATGCAGAAAATCTCTTGGCTCCTCTTTCATTATATTTTATCAGTATAATTTAATAACCATTTTTCTGTAAAATATGTTCATTTTTACAGACTAGATGTTAGTCTACTATTACACCTCAGCAAGAAGATTTCTTCACTCTCTGTTTCACAATTCCATCATTAGATGGTTTTGCTCTTGGCTGTTTGTGTCATTGTAGGATTCAGTTGGATATTGTTCGTGTTGGTGCCACTGGTCATCCTTGGCCAGACTCCTGTCGTTTACAGGCAGACTTTATATTGCCAGAATATTACAGAAAAACAAAACCACACAGAATTCCATCTTTAATATAAGAGTTTCTCTCTTCCAGAACGTGATGCTTTCGACACCCTGTTTGATCATGCTCCAGACAAGTTGAATGTGGTTAAGAAGGTAACAACTTTTTAAAAGTTTTGTTTGGGTTCAAAAGTTTATCATCTCATTACATTGAAGTAATCTGATGTTGATGTTTCAAAACAAGAAGTGAAGCTTACCCTATGTTATTTTACAGACTCTGGTCACGTTTGTTAATAAGCAACTGATGAAGGTGAACTTGGAGGTGAATGACCTTGACACGCAGGTAAGTTCAAGTGAATTTCTTGCTAAGTCAGAACTGCAGGTAACTTTCTGATGGTTGAATCAGTTACTAAGTAAATAATACAATAACTATATGTGTAGATAATACACATCCCTACAGAGTCCTGGCTCTATCTGCCCTGGTTTCATCATGTGACCTTGACCCAGTAGCAACACAGCAGAATAGTTCCCAGTATTCCACACTTGTCAGAGAGTGGACAAGTGACAATCAAGGAATAACAGTTTGCTCACTACATTATTGTGAGTCATCATATTGAAAGAGTGTAGATCCTTCATATAACTGAGGTAAATACTAAATAGCTGAAATATATTCATATTTCCCCATTCTGCTTCAGCAAAGCTTTCCTGTATGATTATAAGTGTCCCAGCTCTCAGGTGCAGGTGCTCTCTCAGGTGTAGAAGCATGTTGAATGAAATCAATTTCGTTTGGACATCATTTAAGAATTTAGATCTGATACCAAGTTTAGCATTTATTACCAATCATGAAATAAAATCGTTCCGATTTTCTCTGCATTCTTAACATCCTAGTGTGTTATGTCCTCATCTCATCTGTTGTGATGTATCCTCTTGACTGATTGACCAGAGTTTAGATGTTTACCACTGCTGTGGACCCCTAAAGATTCGCGTTGAAATTAGTCTTCAGCAGCCCATCCCAGTAATGTGTGATAACTAACAGGATCTCTCGCAGACTTGGTAGCCCATCCCAGTAATGTGAGACAACTAACAGGATCTCCCGCAGACTTGGTAGCCCATCCCAGTAATGTGAGACAACTAACAGGATCTCCCCAGACTTGGTAGCCCATCCCAGTAATGTGAGACAACTAACAGGATCTCCCACAGACTTGGTAGCCCATCCCAGTAATGTGAGACAACTAACAGGATCTCTCGCAGACTTGGTAGCCCATCCCAGTAATGTGAGACATCTAACAGGATCTCTCACAGACTTGGTAGCCCATCCCAGTAATGTGAGACAACTAACAGGATCTCCCACAGACTTGGTAGCCCATCCCAGTAATGTGAGACAACTAACAGGATCTCCACTTGAGACTTGGTAGCCCATCCCAGTAATGTGAGACATCTAACAGGATCTCTCGCAGACTTGGTAGCCCATCCCAGTAATGTGAGACAACTAACAGGATCTCTCGCAGACTTGGTAGCCCATCCCAGTAATGTGAGACAACTAACAGGATCTCTACTTGAGACTTGGTAGCCCATCCCAGTAATGTGAGACATCTAACAGGATCTCTCACAGACTTGGTAGCCCATCCCAGTAATGTGAGACAACTAACAGGATCTGTCGCAGACTTGGTAGCCCATCCCAGTAATGTGAGACAACTAACAGGATCTCTCTTGAGACTTGGTAGCCCATCCCAGTAATGTGAGACAACTAACAGGATCTCTTGCAGACTTGGTAGCCCATCCCAGTAATGTGAGACAACTAACAGGATCTCTGCAGACTTGGTATCCCATCCCAGTAATGTAAGACAACTAACAGGTTCTCTCATGCAGACTTGGTAGCCCATCCCAGTAATGTGAGACAACTAACAGGATCTCTCACACAAACTTGGTAGCCCATCCCAGTAATGTGAGACAACTAACAGGATCTCCCACAGACTTGGTAGCCCATCCCAGTAATGTAAGACAACTAACAGGATCTCCCACAGACTTGGTAGCCCATCCCAGTAATGTAAGACAACTAACAGGATCTCTCACAGACTTGGTAGCCCATCCCAGTAATGTAAGACAACTAACAGGATCTCTCACAGACTTGGTAGCCCATCCCAGTAATGTAAGACAACTAACAGGATCTCACAGACTTGGTATCCCATCCCAGTAATGTAAGACAACTAACAGGATCTCCCACAGACTTGGTAGCCCATCCCAGTAATGTAAGACAACTAACAGGATCTCTCACAGACTTGGTAGCCCATCCCAGTAATGTGAGACAACTAACAGGATCTCTCACAGACTTGGTAGCCCATCCCAGTAATGTAAGACAACTAACAGGATCTCTCACAGACTTGGTAGCCCATCCCAGTAATGTGAGACAACTAACAGGATCTCTCACAGACTTGGTAGCCCATCCCAGTAATGTAAGACAACTAACAGGATCTCCCACAGACTTGGTAGCCCATCCCAGTAATGTAAGACAACTAACAGGATCTCACAGACTTGGTAGCCCATCCCAGTAATGTGAGACAACTAACAGGATCTCTCACAGACTTGGTAGCCCATCCCAGTAATGTAAGACAACTAACAGGATCTCTCACAGACTTGGTAGCCCATCCCAGTAATGTGAGACAACTAACAGGATCTCTCACAGACTTGGTAGCCCATCCCAGTAATGTAAGACAACTAACAGGATCTCCCACAGACTTGGTAGCCCATCCCAGTAATGTAAGACAACTAACAGGATCTCTCACAGACTTGGTAGCCCATCCCAGTAATGTAAGACAACTAACAGGATCTCCCACAGACTTGGTAGCCCATCCCAGTAATGTAAGACAACTAACAGGATCTCCCACAGACTTGGTAGCCCATCCCAGTAATGTGAGACAACTAACAGGATCTCTCACAGACTTGGTAGCCCATCCCAGTAATGTGAGACAACTAACAGGATCTCTCACAGACTTGGTAGCCCATCCCAGTAATGTAAGACAACTAACAGGATCTCCCACAGACTTGGTAGCCCATCCCAGTAATGTAAGACAACTAACAGGATCTCCCACAGACTTGGTAGCCCATCCCAGTAATGTAAGACAACTAACAGGATCTCTCACAGACTTGGTAGCCCATCCCAGTAATGTAAGACAACTAACAGGATCTCTCACAGACTTGGTAGCCCATCCCAGTAATGTAAGACAACTAACAGGATCTCTCACAGACTTGGTAGCCCATCCCAGTAATGTAAGACAACTAACAGGATCTCTCACAGACTTGGTAGCCCATCCCAGTAATGTAAGACAACTAACAGGATCTCTCACAGACTTGGTAGCCCATCCCAGTAATGTGAGACAACTAACAGGATCTCTCACAGACTTGGTAGCCCATCCCAGTAATGTAAGACAACTAACAGGACTTCTCTCACAGACTTGGTCCATCCCAGTAATGTGAGACAACTAACAGGATCTCTCACAGACTTGGTAGCCCATCCCAGTAATGTAAGACAACTAACAGGATCTCCCACAGACTTGGTAGCCCATCCCAGTAATGTAAGACAACTAACAGGATCTCTCACAGACTTGTGTAGCCCATCCCAGTAATGTGAGACAACTAACAGGATCTCTCACAGACTTGGTAGCCCATCCCAGTAATGTAAGACAACTAACAGGATCTCACAGACTTGGTAGCCCATCCCAGTAATGTGAGACAACTAACAGGATCTCTCACAGACTTGGTAGCCCATCCCAGTAATGTAAGACAACTAACAGGATCTCCCACAGACTTGGTAGCCCATCCCAGTAATGTAAGACAACTAACAGGATCTCTCACAGACTTGGTAGCCCATCCCAGTAATGTAAGACAACTAACAGGATCTCTCACAGACTTGGTATCCCATCCCAGTAATGTGAGACAACTAACAGGATCTCCGGCAGACTTGGTAGCCCATCCCAGTAATGTGAGACAACTAACAGGATCTGTCGCAGACTTGGTAGCCCATCCCAGAAATGTGAGACAACTAACAGGATCTCCCGCAGACTTGGTAGCCCATCCCAGTAATGTGAGACAACTAACAGGATCTGTCGCAGACTTGGTAGCCCATCCCAGTAATGTGAGACAACTAACAGGATCTGTCCCAGACTTGGTAGCCCATCCCAGTAATGTAAGACAACTAACAGGATCTCTCACAGACTTGGTAGCCCATCCCAGTAATGTGAGACAACTAACAGGATCTCTCGCAGACTTGGTAGCCCATCCCAGTAATGTAAGACAGCTAACAGGATCTGTCCGCAGACTTGGTAGCCCATCCCAGTAATGTGAGACAACTAACAGGATCTCTCTCACAGACTTGGTAGCCCATCCCAGTAATGTGAGACAACTAACAGGATCTCTAGCAGACTTGGTAGCCCATCCCAGTAATGTGAGACAACTAACAGGATCTCTAGACTTGGTAGCCCATCCCAGTAATGTGAGACAACTAACAGGATCTCTCGCAGACTTGGTATCCCATCCCAGTAATGTAAGACAACTAACAGGATCTCCGCCAGACTTGGTAGCCCATCCCAGTAATGTGAGACAACTAACAGGATCTCCAGAGACTTGGTAGCCCATCCCAGTAATGTGAGACATCTAACAGGATCTCTACAGAGGCTTGGTAGCCCATCCCAGTAATGTGAGACATCTAACAGGATCTCTCACAGACTTGGTAGCCCATCCCAGTAATGTGAGACATCTAACAGGATCTCTCACAGACTTGGTAGCCCATCCCAGTAATGTGAGACAACTAACAGGATCTCTCGCAGACTTGGTAGCCCATCCCAGTAATGTGAGACAACTAACAGGATCTCTCTGCAGGCTTGGTAGCCCATCCCAGTAATGTGAGACAACTAACAGGATCTGTCATGAGACTTGGTAGCCCATCCCAGTAATGTGAGACAACTAACAGGATCTCTCGCAGACTTGGTAGCCCATCCCAGTAATGTGAGACAACTAACAGGATCTCTCTTGAGGCTTGGTAGCCCATCCCAGTAATGTGAGACAACTAACAGGATCTGTCGTGAGACTTGGTAGCCCATCCCAGTAGTGTGAGACAACTAACAGGATCTCGCGCAGGCTTGGTAGCCCATCCCAGTAATGTGAGACATCTAACAGGATCTCTCACAGACTTGGTAGCCCATCCCAGTAATGTGAGACATCTAACAGGATCTCTCACAGAGACTTGGTAGCCCATCCCAGTAATGTGAGACAACTAACAGGATCTCTTGCAGACTTGGTAGCCCATCCCAGTAGTGTGAGACAACTAACAGGATCTCTCATGAGACT